TCAAAAAACAAACATAAATTTAAAAAATCCCATGGGTCCAACTAGTTTCTTCCACCAAAGGGGACTTCTTCAGTGACAAAATGAGGTAAGTTAAAATCAAAATGCAACAACATTTGTCAAAAAAAAAAGCAGCCGCATAACCAACCCTCCCTACCCGCCCCCTCCCCCAGGTCCTTATATAGGGCTAACCCCAGAGTTCATTGGTGGCCTGGTGACCATTTTCCAAATTATTCTCCTTATTGGCTGAAGCTCCTCCACTCAATGCATTTTCCTGCGCTCACCCTTCTATTTGCAGCTGATCGTTATATGTAATTATGCTAGTTTTTCTGAATGCCAGTATGCATTCCAGAGCCATCTGTAATGCATTCCACCAACGTCAAATCACTTCCGCGATCACATGATCGCATAGTTTTGGCTTCTTGCATTCCAGCGCCATTCTGGAATGCATCTCGATCAGTGTGTACAGAAACTAGTTCTATTTGCTGAAGAAAAATGGACAGTGTGTGGTGTGTGTTACATACTTGAGTTGGGTGACACAGGGATGTGATACACACCAAAAAAATTTTTTAGTTTTTGCACATTTTTTTTGTTAACCCAGTATTTCTGGTATTTGTAAACTGTTTAAATAAGTCACTTAGATTGTATAACCATGGCAAACGATATTCACTGTTTGCATAGAATTCAAAAGGCGAGACATAAGAAATTTGTCTCTTTGTTTGAGGATTGGGAAAAACCCCAACCAATTAAAGGCCTAGATGAATATTTCAGGCTAAAAGAAAAATTGTTAAACAACGAGACAAAGTGGTGGGAAATTTCATTTTTAGAAAGCTATGTAAAGGAGAGTTTAATTCCCAGAGGACTTAGGATAGACAAAGTTCCAGCTTTTGGTTTTGACATCGAATTGTTTTTAAAGAAATTAGACAACATTTTGGTTAATTGTTCTTTTCAATGTATTAATCTAATTATACCATTTTCAAAAGAGGTGAAAGAACAAATAGAAAATGAGATTAAAGAATTGGAGGAGAATAATACTTTCGAGAAAGAAAATAGGTTGTTTAAGGAAAGGGAGGAAGAAATGTGTAAAAGGCTAAAATATTTAGATGAATTTATAAAGATTTTAAAAGAGATAAGGAGGATAAAAATCTAAACCTCTTCTCCACATCAAATAAAATGAAAGGAAAAATAAATGTTAAAGGTCCTCAAAAAAGACAATCCTTATCGACTCCGACTTACAAAAAATGTTTTAGGAAAATGGATAAAACTCCCCCACAAACATCATTTAGACAAAGAAGGGAGAGTAATACCACCCCTAAAAAAGTAATCATTGGGGGAGGGCAGAAAGAAGTAGAAATTAACCGATTTAATGAGGGAGAGGAAAGAACCTATGCTCAAGTAGCACCTATTGATAGTAGTCGAAGTAACGATAGAAGTAACATTAAAGAAACAAGGGGAGATTTTTTGGACCCAAATCACAAAAGGAAAGAAAAAAACATAAATTACTTTTCACCCAGAGGGGGAACATGGGAACACCCCAACCGTTCCTTGCTCCTACAAACAGAATCCCCTTTGAAGAGAAGAGTGGAAGAAGAAACACCAAATGCACAGGGGAGGGCAATGAGTTACCAATAAATGAAACCAACAAAGGCATCTTTAATGTAACATGTTCTCCTTTAACAGCTTTAGAAATACAGGTCCTTGAAAAATGTTTAAAATGTGCCCCATATAAAACTGTAGATAAGTTTGAGCTGTTCATAGACCTCAAAAAATACATCAGAAACTTAACCATAAAAATATATATATATGTTTTTTAAAATCCCATTGAGAAACCAATCACAGAGAAAGAACCAGCTGAAACCATTCAGCATAAAGTGTTTAAACCAAAATCCAAATTCTTCCCAGTACAAAAAGTTCTTCCCAGTATTGAAAATACGATGACTCGTGAAATTGAGAAGTTGTGGCGAAAGTAACCTCGCCACTGGTTTTTGGATGGGGCCTGCTTGCCAGCCTCCTGCCCTGTGACTATGGGCCTTGTAATAGACTTTGGTTAAAGATACTGTTTGTGCCTTTATTTTACTATGTATGGCTACACTTCGAACTCCCGAAGCGGTTCAAAGCGGCACTTCACATTCCAGAACAACCTCACAAGAGACCACCCTGGAGCTTGTTAACACCTATTAACAATTTGGAATGTTTCTAACCGCAGTGTTCTAATTGTTCTTCTGGGTGGCCACAATTCCTATGGACAACCACAAGGTGGTGGCCATCTTGTTCGCATGAACGCAGGCAGCGGTGTTTGGGCATGAATCTCATGGAACTAAAATCTGACACAGAAACTCCCGAACACCACTGGACTTCCATCATCGCCTGTGATCATTTCTATACAACTCAGAAGAGCACTGTTCGTGGGATAATTCGTCTGGATGAAGGGAACAAGCTCCAGGGTAAGACTTTTTACTGTGTTCGGTAGTTTGTTCATTTTCAAACTGATTCTCTGGAACTATTTTGGTCATGGGACCATGCCTGCAGTAGGTCAAATAAATGACTTCCATAGAATTCCTGAACCGCTGAATCTGAGTGATTTTTGGATATGTTGGTCACCCAGATCAGGGCTATCAGGGGATGTAACATTTGTGGGGATATTATGTGTTTTTGGGGTACTTTTCGGGTTTTATAAAAATATGTGTTTTTCTGCCTGGAGATAATTGGGCTAATACAGTATCTGACTCAGTTATCTCCCAGGCAGAGGGGAAGGATTGTAAAATATGTATGGGAGTGTCATGCATTGTAACACTGTTATTATTGGTCTGTGACTTTGTACCATAGTTCCCCACAAGGCCCATGTGGGAGTGCCCCTTGCATGGGGATTGTCATATAAGGCCAAGTGTGGCACCATTAAAATCAGTTCCTCTTCATCCTCAACATAGAGCCTTGTCTCATGTGTGGAGGGGACATCTATGTTCACTCTGGGGATTGCTATACTCCTTATACTCCCCTGGGTTCTAATCACTAGTTCTTATACTCTCTGGAATAGGAGATGTTCACCCACTGGAAGCTGGATCCTGATCTTGGTGGGTGGAGAACAGCGAGACCCCAACCAAGCTGTGGGGGTCTGTGGGGTCTATAGTGCCGATGGTGCCTAGTGGAGTGCTTGGAGTCCTCGGAGTCCTAAAAGCATCGATTGGCAGAGGCACCCGGTCAGGGTGCTAGGCGGTTCGTCACAGAAGTTTAATGCCAAGACCCCTAAAAAATATCCCTCAAGCAGTGTAGAGGTTAAAGCATCATCTTTTAATGGAAAAAATTAAAAATAAAAGAAAATACAAATAAAAATCTTCTAACAATAAAATCCACTATGGGCAACCAAATAAAAGTCCACTGTGGGTTTCCATTAAATGATGATACTTTAACCTCCACACTGCTTGAGTGGATCGTTTGAAGCAGATAGAGGACGGCACATCAGTCATTACACTTGTAGGGAGTGGGATCCCTCACAACTATACCACAGGTGTTAATATTGAGCCATATTCATCTGGCTCTCTCCTTGTCAATACCTAATCACGAAATTGCTATTAAGTTACCCATGTACTTTATGATATTGCACTAGGTGCTTGTCAATATTTTTGTTTTCACAGTTACTTCATTGTACCCTTGTACACTATTTTACATTCTGTACCCAAGAACCAACAATACTGTGTATGTAAATGGAGCATATTGAATGGAAGGAAGATTTCAGTTGGGCTACCGTGGATGTCATTTCACTTTACACCATCATTCAGCACAATTTGGGTGTTTTGGCTATCACGACTTATATTAATCAGGCTTAATAGATACAATCACCCCTTTAATAATTTATTTTAAGGGCTATACAATTTATTTTAGAACATAACTATTTTTTCATTGATGGAAAATTTTATTTACGGATCACAGGGAACGGCTTAGGAACCATGTTTGCCCTTAGCTATGCCAACATCAATATGATATGGTGGGTGGACCTTTCAATCTGGTGCAGGCATCGCTGGAGGGAAAACTTGGCCCTATAGCAGAGAGGTTCAGATAGTTCTTTTGGAGAATTTATCCAATATCTAAATAAAAATTATTTTAATTTGAAATTCACCCCTGAATGGAACAAAAATCATATAAATTTCTTGGATTTAAATCTTTTTGTTGAAGGGGAAACAATCAAAACAATTTTTTTTTTTTTTTAAACTGATATAAACAGCTATGTACATCACAAGAGCTGTCACCACCAACCTTGGTTAAAGGGAATAGCTAAAGGTCAAATGACTAGACTGAGGTGTAACTGTTCAGACATCCTTTATGTCAAAACACAGTAAAATTTAAGAATCAAAAAGAGCGGTAAAAGTCATTCAAAAGAGAAAGAAAAAATGTAAAAACCCCTTTGCATACAACTATTAATTTAAACAATTATATATTAATTTGAAACCTAATATAATATATTTAGTTTAATTATGCAGCTACACACTTTAGTGTCTTACACCCAAGGGTTAAACCCTAGCACACAAGTCATGATAGAAAATATAATTTAAAAAGTGGAGCGCCAAAAAATAAATAAAAAATGATGACTCTATTGCTGTTCAGGATAGTTCCATGAACATGTGGAAAAAAGGAAGGGATAAAAATAGATAGTGTAATTCTGTTACAACTTACATATTTTCATATATCCTTATATAATCCAAAGATGTTGAAACAATTTAACAAGATTTATTCTATAAACAAGGTAAAAATATAATTAAAGTATATTGCACCCATAAACAAGGTAAAAACAATATAATTAAAGTATATTTGTTAAGAACAAGTGGATTCAAAAGGGATATAAGAAAAACTGTGTTGAAATTTTTTTTAAAAACATTGAGAGGAAGGATAGAAAGGATTTTTTTTTCATATTCTCGAAATAAAACGATAAATGATCATTTCAAATTTTCCTTTATTACAAAATATAATATTAATCACAAACAACTAAAAAAAAGCTAAAACAAATTTTGGTCAATCTTACTTCAAGATCCAGTCTTAGGAAAATCATTGCCTAATAGACCTTTAGTGGTATGCAAAAATCTAAAAGGCATCTTGGTTCCAATCTATTTTAAAGGAGGAAAAAAGATCTTAAATAAAAATATAAACAATCGAGCAAAAGGCTTTAGAGGCAGCAGAACAGTGAAAATAACATCTGCAGAATTTGAGAGTACAATCACAGGAGAGATTCCAGATAAAATTTGGTATTGATTGCTGCATGGACTTGTGGTATATTTATTGCAGTGTCCGTGAGGCAAACAATACGTAGGAAGAACCAAAAGAGCATTACAAATCCGGCTAATGGAACACATCAATAACATCAGAAAGGGGATAACGACCCACTCACTTCCAGTGCACTGTTGCCAATGCCCGCTCTTCAGTTGGAAAGAGTTTAAGTGTATAGGCATAGAACAGGTGCATGCCAACTGGAGAGGGGGAGCTTAAACTTGATGGCTTTCTCAGAGAGAAATATTTTGGATAGATAGACTGGTCACACTGGAGCCGAGGAGTTTAAATATTGATGTGGATTTGGTGTGTTTCCTATGAATAGTGTAAATGTACTTTTTGACAGAATCGTTGTATATAATTTTAATACAAATCTTTACGCTATTATTGGATATCCATAGCGTGTTATTTCAAGATATCCTTATAATTCACTTTGGGAGCATAGTATTATTACTTTTTTATTTATAATCTAAAAAAAGTTTTTTTTTTTTTTTTTTCTATAGTAAAAAAAAATCCATTTATTATTTTGTTCAGCTACCTTTTAATTAAAAATATTTTTCTATTTTTTTCTGTTTCATCTTATTTCATTATAATATATTTCCTATGTGTTTTTTCATCCTTTCAAATAAATTTTTCACCTTATTTTGCTTTGTTTTAAAAAATAAAAAATTGTTTTCTCTTTTTTTTCTCCAAATTTAGTGCAGTTGAGGACTCTTAATAACAATACTAATATAATGTTCCTTCTGATATTTGTGATTATATATGTCTATTTAAAGTGTCTATGTATTAGTTGTACTATCCCCCTTTTCTTATATTATATACTTTAGATGAATAATTGGTTAATATCTGTTTTCTTGAGCAAATAATTAGTTCCTGTACACACCGACCGAGATGCGTTCCAGAATGGCACTGGAATGCAAGAAGCCGAAATTATGTGATCATGTGATCGCATTAGTGATTTGACGTTGGTGGAACGCATTAAAGATGGCGCTGGAATGCATACCTGGGTTCAGAAAAACTAGCATAATTACATATAACGATCAGCTGGAAATAGAAGGGGTAGTCCATTGAAGATGCATGGAGTGGAGGAGCTTCACCCAATAAGTGTAAGAATTTGGAAAACTGCCACTGGGCCACCAATGAACTCTGGGGATTAGCCCTATATAAGGACTTGGTGGGAAGGGTTGGTTATGTTGCTGCTTTTTTTTCCTTTGGCAATTGCTGTTGCACTATAGCACTTCGATTTTAACATACCTCATTGTGTCACTGAAGAAGTCCACTTTGGTGGAAGAAACTAGTTGGACCCATTTTATCTTTTAAATTCATGTTTGTTTTTTGATAATTTGTATGCACTTTAGGTATGGGTTAGCCCTTTGAATTGACTCGTATAGGATACAGGAAGCCAATGTAAAGACTGACAGAGGGGTGAGGTGTGAGAGGACTGACTAGAGAGGAAAATCAGTCTGGCAGAAGCATTCATTACAGACTGTAGCGGGGCAATATGGCTATTGGGAAGACCAATTAGGAGAGAGTTACAATTGTTCATGCAAGAGATTACTAGTGCATGGACAAGCTCTTTAGTAACATTTTGTGTAAGAAAGGGGCGGATGCGGGTGATGTTTTTGAGCTGGAATTGGCATGATTTGACAACAGACCGGATGTGAGGCTCAAAGGTGAGGCCAAAATCAAAAGTAACACTAAGACAACGTGCTTGTAAGGATGGCCTGATATGGGTACCACCAATCTGAAGGGAGAGCGAGAGAGGAGGATTAATATTAGGAGGAGGAAAGACAAGAAGTTCTGTTTTGGAAAGATTCAGTTTCAGAAAGCGGGAGGACATCCAATCAGAGATAGAAGAAAGGCAAGAGGTGACACCTTGCAGGACATCAGGGGAGAAGTCTGAGGAGGAGAGATATATCTGGGTGTCATCAGCGTACACGTGGTATTTGAATCCAAAAGAGGTAATAAGCTTGCCAAGAGAGGCAGTGTAAAGAGAAAGTAGAAGGGGACCAAGGACAGAGCCTTGAGGGACTCCAACTGAGACAGGACGAACGGTGGAGGTATCATTAGAAAAGGAGACACTGAATGAACGTTGGGAGAGATAGGAGGAAAACCATGAGAGGACAGAGTCAGAGACTGAGTGATTGAAGAGTTTGGAGAAGGAGAACATGATCAACAGTGTCAAAAGCAGCGGAGATGTCAAGAAGAATTAGTATGGAGTAGTGACCTTTGGATTTAGCTGTGATAAGGTCATTAGTGACTTTGATCAGGGCAGTCTCAGTAGAGTGGAGGGGGCAGAAGCCGGACTAAAGAGGGTCGAGGAGAGAGTAGGAGTTGAGGAAGCAGGCCAGATGGGTGAAGACTAGTCTTTTAAGAAGCTTTGAGGAAAAAGGGAGCAGGGATATAGGATGATAGTTAGAGGGGGAGTATGGGTCGAGACGTGTTTTTTTTTAAGATAGGTACTACAGTAGCATGTTTCAGGACAGCAGGAACAGTGCCAGAAGAAAGAGACCAGTTGAAGATGTGTGTTAAGGAGGGCACAAGACAAGAAGAGAGAGATCTAATAAGGTGAGACGGGACAGGATCAAGCGGGCAAGTGGTGGGGCGAGAGGAAAGGATAAGTGCAGCCACCTCTTGTTCAGTAGCTTGGGAGAAGGTTGGAAGGGTTGGAGAGGCATGATCCAGGGGAGGTTGAAAAGGTGAGGGGCAAGGTGGTGAGAATTATTTCCTTATCTGTTCAATCTTGTCAGTAAAGTAGCAAGCAAGACTATCAGCTGTAAGGTTAGTTTGAGGGGTGGCCACAGCAGGGCAAAGAAGATAATTAAAGGTATCAAAGAGATGTCTGGGATTGTGGGAGCATGAACAAATAAGAGAAGAAAAGTATGACTGTTTGGCAAGGGCAAGGGCTGTGCTGAATGAACGCAATATGAATTTGACTCGGTATGAGACTTCCTCTAGCAGCGTTCAGCAGAACATCTTTGCAGGTACCGTGCTGATTTAGTGGGCCATGGTTGGGGACGTGTCCTCCTTGCGCTGTGTATTTGGAGAGGGGCTGAAGCGTTCAGGGATGAGGTGAGGGTAGAGTTATATGAGGAGATAGCCAGTGAGGGACATCTTATGAGATTAATCCACTGACTTAGGAAATGCTTCCTCCTGGGACTCTCTGGTCAAGGTTAAATAGGACTCTTAAACGAGGCACCTGTGAAAGGGAGGGGTGAAAAACCGAGGAGCTAGCCTGGACTCCATAATATATATATATATATATATATATATATATATATATATATATATATATATATATATATATATATATATATATATATATATATATATATATATTTGTGTAAGGGGCAAATAGCCGTATATGGAGTAAGGATCCAGCATAAGCGTAGGATAGTATAATGGGAGCAAGTTGGTTGTGGTGTGCCGAGACCGACGATACGGTAGGCCTGTAAATAAAGAGGGCCCACCAAGGAGTAAGAAAGTAAAGTAAATGGAAAGAAAAGAGAAAGTGTTGAAATGAGGAGTGGGTGGGAGGGTCATGCTGATGCTGACCTCAAGCGATATGAGTCAGGTAAGGGGGGCACAAGACAAGAAGAGAGAGATCTAATAAGGTGAGACGGGACAGGATCAAGCGGGCAAGTGGCGGGGCGAGAGGAAAGGATAAGTGCAGCCACCTCTTGTTCAGTAGCTTGGGAGAAGGTTGGAGATTAATCCACTGACTTAGGGGAGTGAATTAATTTAAGCCCCTTCCACAAATACAGGCCAAACGGCCTTAATACTTGTGTAAGGGGCAAATAGCCGTATATGGAGTAAGGATCCAGCATAAGGGGAGCAAGTCGGTTGTGGTGTGCCGAGACCGACGATACGGTAGGCCTGTAAATAAAGAGGGCAAAAATGAATAATCAAAGATTTAATACAGTCAACAAATATATACAAATTAACCAGACATTTCCTTAAAAGCATTACAGTATTTCCTGAAAGGATTTTGAAGGTAGGAATCTAGGAGCGAAAGTGGACACCATTTGTTGTGGGTAGGATAGTATGTTATCTCTACTGTTGGTGCGTGTTGACTCGTTTCGGAATGTGGTAGAGCCAATAGGTAATGATATATGTGTTTAGGTACGTGGGATCGTTGAAGACAATGATCTGTCTGAGTGGTAGTGATGGTAGTGGATTATCTGGCCTGAGAAAGGCATAAAAGGCAATGTGCATAGCTGGTAATGGCCGACTTGGTAGTATAATTGAATGGTTGTAAATCTAATAGGTCCGATAATGATGAAAAGTTGGATGGCTATTGGTAATCTCTGAGAGGAACGTGGGGGAATGGATTCCTGAAAACCTCTGAGTATATTCTTGTCTGGTATGATAGCATGAAGTTATGGTAGTTTTGGCCATAGGTTATTCTGTGTTGTTGAATGCCTGTAAAATATATAATTAATGGTGTGTGAGATAGTTTAAGTTTAAGGTGGCAAAAAGAAGCAAAACCTAGGAGAAATGTTATGACACAGGTTGAGCTATGTCGTGTGCCAATGAGATTCTTTAAGCCAGGTGAAAAGCTGTGTTATGTGTTCTACAAGTATGGGACGAAAGTGCTAGGTGGGATAGTGCATGCTATGCTGCATGAGTATGTCTAATCCATGATTTTGTCTCTGGAACGAAAGAGTGGCCGTGACTGTATGGGCGGCTGTAGGAAGCGTATGATGAACACGCCTGGAATATAAATGAGACAGTTGTCGGCAGGGATGTATACCCCCGTCTGGTACATGAAAGTGAAATGTGATAAGTGGCCAACCAAGTGAGTTCCCCAGAAATATCATGACCTTATGGATGAGTAGTGGCGTTTGTTGATGATATGACATGCTTAGTTGCCTGAGTAACAACGGATTGATGACCCTGACCATGATTTACCCCATGCCTCAGCAGCTGCTATAATGGGGTGGATCTCCCAAAGGGGCTGAGGTGGTGGAAAAATTTCCAAACCTGGATGCCATCGCCAACAGCTCCAAAGCAATTGTTCCCGGTAGATCGCTGCCAAACCCGTGGTAGACGCTGCGTCTGACCATCTGGTTGGAGAAGTGTCAGAATCCTGGAAGGAACATGCTTTTACCATGCCAAGTGGTTAAAAAATTCCCCCCCATGTGCAGGTCTGTTGTTGCTGAGGTGTCTAGGGACATCCTCTGATCGTCATGTTGGAAGTGTGGAAAAAAGGGGAAAGTACTCTGGATGTGAAAGCGTGGTCTTGTGGTATGATTGGCATGGCAAAATTAAGGAACCTGGTAGGGATCGTAGTTCCTTGCAGTTGTAAGTACTAAGCAGGAGGTAGTGATTGATGTAGTTGAGAATGTTCCCTATTTGTCTTGTGGTAAGGATTGCCCAATTTATGCCATGTAAGTGCCAGTGTGTAGGGTAGATGGTAGCCGTTTACTGCGTTGATGATATTGGTCTTACTTAACCAAGCTTCAACCCATGCTTGAGTGATAGCTGTAAAGGTAGATCAATGGTGTTGTATAGTAAGAAAAATCCTCGGAGGGTATGAGGGAGTTGAGACTTGGGGTAGCGGAGGTGTGTGGTGCCAATAAGTCTATGGTTAGTCTTTGTTTAAGGGAAGATTCCTTGTGACAATACCAATGTGTGTGTTTGGTGCCATGCTGTAAATGGTGGAGATTGGAAGACCCCTCTGCAAATCTTGGCTATGAGTGTGTTTACAGCCAATGGTTTTGTTGTGCTGACTGTAAGTGAGGGCATGCTATATTCCTTGAAGATGTGTTTATGATACCTGTATGGGAGCCCTTTGAAGCTCCAGAGCTTTAGTAAATCTACTACAAGTCTGGAAGGGTGATGAGTCAGTAGTGTTGAAAATGCATTGGTGTGTACAGATGGTGAATACGTTATTTGTAAGTTGTATTGGGACACATGGTTTGTCATGTGCCCTGAACTATTTGAACATATATGCAACAGTCTGTATGCAATGCAACTACTCATATCAGTGGTCTCTGGTTGTTCAGAGGTGCTGGTACCTGGAGCCTGAGAGTGCTCGTCCACTTGTTTGGGACAAAATCCCTTCTGTATGGGTACCTGCACAAATAAACATCTCCACATATTCCAAATGCCAACCCAACCAAGGGATGTTCAGTTCCCGATTTACCTGGAATCCCTGGATCTGACCATCACAGATACATCATCACATATATATATGCCTTGCTTCCCCAATGTGCTGGGATCATACGTGCAGGTTTAACATCTTGTGTCATAAGAATTGATTGTACCAGGTAACTGAGTTTCAGTTGGTGCTGGTTGTACAGTAGCGTGAGGCCCAGCCTTGTGAGGGCTGTGGTGACCAACTCGAGATTGCCAGTCTGTCATAAATTTTTTGGCTCATGAGTTTATGAGTGAAGCTAGCATAGCCTGGCTGTCACCTGAGTTGATGTAGCTGGGCCTTCCCCTGCCTCTGTGTTGTCAGTTGATGTATGGAGGAGTTTGAATAACTGCTTTCCTTGCTGTAGCAGGGTAAGGGATTTGTCACCTCCTTAGGTCGGTGGTAATGTGTGGGATCGTCCAGGATCTGATTGCTGCTGGACTAGCAACATCTCCTCTGCTTGAAGGTGTATCAATTCTAGCCGGGGTGCTAGGAAGAGGTGATTCTTCACCATCTTTTTGAGAAATACTTAAATAACAATAAAGATTGCAATTATTATTTGTACCCAGGGTTCTTGTACTGGCTTGCTAGCTAAGCCGTAAGGCGAAACGATTAGGCTCGGTGGTTTTTTTTTTGTTGGTTTTTTTTGGGGGACTGGTGAGGCCCTGCTAGTTGCCAAGTGGCTTGAGAGGCTCTATCTATGCTTGGCGCGAGGGAATTTTGTGTGGCCACCGAACGTTGTGGCAGGATGTTGGCCTCTCGGTGACAGTAACCAGAAAATAGGAAGGGGAGTGACAGGTGAGGTCCTCTCTATGATACAATGCGAGGCGGCTAGCTCACGAGTGGCCCGAGGGGTGTATGCCTCCGAGTGTGAGGCGGGGTGTTGGCCTCGCGGGACCACTAACCGAAGCATAATGCAGAGAAAAAGGGGGTAATACCTATTGGGCCCTAGAACCCTAATTGCCAGTACACTATTACTATTCCAGGGAAGGTAGAGATGGATAACTACGTGAGCAGGTGTATGTACCTGGTAGTATGGTATTGAACCTGACAATCCGTATAGGTTTTTTAGTAGTAACTGTAACCTGAATGGATAAAACCGTATGGCATAAGGAAATATGGCATAGACCAAGCTTATCTTAATACGTACAGTATATGTGAAAAGTAAAGTGCCATGATGTGTAAATATTAAACATCGTAGCCATACTGGTTAAATATGTATCAATCTTAACCCATTAAGTGCCGTATGTACAAGTGAAAATGTGGTCTGTCCCCACCTTGTATGTTGTATGTCCCCTTGCTAGGGGAAGTCTGTTGCGGGAGCAGCGTGCTGTGAAAAATGTATGTTAACTATATTACCAGTTACATAGATACAGATGCATCTGCTACTGTGTAATAATATATGTATTTATACCAGATGTTGATATAGTGCTTGCTATGTGAATTGTTGTATGTCTTATTGAATGGTAGGGGTCAGTGAACATGGTGTTGCAAATGCAAGTGCACTGGAGATCTGCTGAGTGCCCTATAGGTGGCAGTGTAGTTGGATACTGATTGGTATGTGAAATGTTGTTTGTCTGTTGACCTATAGGTGTCAGTGTTTTGGTGTTTGTAAAACCCCATGAAAATTGTCAATGTACTTGACAGACCTGTAGCTGGCAGTGTTGATAGAACCACTGTTGGTCTTGATGTGAAATGTAAATTATTGTGAATTAAACCTGAAGTTGAGCCCGTGCTGGAGTTTAATTTAAGGTCTATAGTTATGTTTAAAACAATCTTATGTGTAATTTATATTGGCTGGTAAATTGTATATGACATGTGAAGACAGTTTTGCTGTTGATCAGTAGGGGTCAGAAATGCTGATTGTATGTTAAAATACCCTTTAACCCCTTAAGGACCAAACTTCTGGAATAAAAGGGGATCATAACATGTCACACATGTCATGTGTCCTTAAGGGGTTAATGCTACCATTTGACAGATAGGAGTCAGTATAAAAGCGAAAATGCTGTAGTTAGTTTGTTTGCTTATGAAGTGGAATAACATCTGAGAAGCCTGTAGTATACTGATTGACCGGTAGGGGTCAGCATGTAGGCGAAAATGCCGTGGTTAGTTGGTTTGTACATGAAATGCAATAATGTCTGAGAAGCCTGTAGTACACTGAATGACTGGTAGGGGTCAGTGTGTAGGCGCAAATGCAGTGGTTCGTTGGTTTGTACATGAAAAGCAAAAACGTCTAAAAAGCCTGTAGTACACCGAATGACTGATAGGGGTCAGTGTGTAGGTGAAAAATGCAGTGGTTTGTTGGTTTATACATGAAATGCAATAATGTCTGAGAAGCCCGTAGTACACCGAATGACCGGTAGGGGTCAGTGTGTAGGCTCAAATGCAGTGGTTCGTTGATTTGTACATGAAATGCAATAATGTCTGAGAAGCCTGTAGTACACCAAATGACCAGTAGGGGTCAGTGTGTAGGCGCAAATGCAGTGGTTCGTTGATTTGTACATGAAATGCGATAATGTCTAAGAAGCCTGTAGTACACCAAATGACCAGTAGGGGTCAGTGTGTAGGCGCAAATGCAGTGATTCGTTTATTTGTACATGAAATGCGATAATGTCTAAGAAGCCTGTAGTACACCAAAAACCGGTAGGGGTCAGTGTGTAGGTGAAAATGAGGTGGTTTATTGGTTTGTACAGGAAAATGCAAAAAACGTCTAAGATGCCTGTAGTACACCGAATGACCGATAGGGGTCAGTGTGTAGGTGAAAAATGCGGTGGTTGATTGGTTTTTACATGAAATGCAATAATGTCTGAGAAGCCGGTAGTACACAGAATGACCGGTAGGAGTCAGTGTGTAGGCGAAAATGCAGTGGTTCGTTGGTTTGTACATGAAATGCAATAATGTCTAAGAAGCCTGTAGTACACCCAAAGACCGGTAGGGGTCAGTGTGTAGGCGAAAATGCAGTGGTTCGTTGGTTTGTACATGAAATGCAATAATGTCTAAGAAGCCTGTAGTACACCCAAAGACCGGTAGGGGGTTTAAACGAATGATATGCATGAACATGCAATGGTTTTAGAACAGACATAGACAAAATGCAACCATAAAGTGAGGACCTGACCCGTGCATGGTGCCGTGGGACTGATGCCTGGCGTAATGGGTAGGTCGACTTACGGTTTGTGACACCATCCACGGCGATGGACTGAAGAAAGAAGGTGGTAGGCCGGAAAAGCCTGTGGCTGGATTCCTGACACAGCTCTGCTTAGAAAACCTCATGGAGTAATCAGGTAAAATGGCGTCTGGATGACCCGGAAGTGGAAATCATTCTGATGCTGACCTCAAACAATATGAGTCAGGTAAGGGGTGTCCCTTATATAGGGGAGTGAATTAATTTAAGCCCCTCCCACAAATACAGGCCAAACGGCGTGTGTGTGTGTGTGTGTGTGTGTGACTATGAGACTGCAATCCCCTGAACATGCATACATTATAGGGTGCTGCTGAGGGCAATTCATACAACATACAGTATCCAACGTACTCGCTCATTCACTAAACAGCAATTTCAAGTCTCACAGAATGTAATAGTTTTATTTAATAACACTTTAGCTAGGCAAACACAAATGGGGGTTTAGTTGTAAAGAAGCTTGGGAGAATGCGGGATCCTCCATAGACAGTGCCAATTCCTGTCTAGTGACAACTGGGAGATTGACACTTCTAGCTGGCGACAGCTCTGCCCAGTGTCTAGAAGTGTCAGACGTAGGAAAATACTAAGAGTCCCTTTTAGTGAAATTCCAATACAGTCAATATGAAGATTTTACGCTTATGAAATACTCATTTTGCAGGAGGGTATGACAGTGCTGTTTTAAGAAAATTGAGAAGGTGGCGCTCAGGTCATTAGTTTCACCACTAATGACGCTATAAATTAGGAGCCTTTAAAGTAACTTTTATTCTTTAAAGAAAACAAGTTGATTAAGTAAGGTCAAATGGGTCAAAAATACTTAAAAAAATTTTATTTTTACTTTATAGTAGCACATTATAATGTATTTCAGCCCATTGAGTTTTACAGAAAGTTGGAAAAGTTTGCTTTTGACATAACATAGAAGCAATTGAAGCACAAAATTGGCCAGTTAAGCATTTACACACAGTCACATCCCAAGCATGTTTTACTTTCAAAACAATAGGTCTGCCCTGAAAACTCTGGAGTCTGGATAATGACACATTCAAAAACCCAATCCCCTTCTGTATCCCCTGGATAACTGTATTGAAATGCAGTTTTCAGTAAGCAGGGATTAACGGCAGCCATACAGTACACAATTAAATCATACAATCACTCACAATAGTGAATAAACTGGCTATACATTTTCCTTACTGGACAGAAATCAGGTCACAGGCACTTTTAATATATGCAAATTGCAGAATTACATGATATATATAAATAGCGTCTCTACCAAACTTAGGTAGCTGCCAGCCCTGTCCTGCTAAACTCAATCCACAATGGGGAAGGTAAGTGATACCACTATACAAACACAATATTGAGGCATGTCATTTAATAGTACGGTAGACAAACAAGAATTGTATTAGATATATTCTTTGCAATAAGTTAGCCACTAAGTTATTCTACGCTGGGCATTGCAATAATTTTTCTCATCTATTGGCTAGGCAACAAAGTAGAGATATACTATTTATCTGGAATAGTGGAATAGTGTTAGTTATCTTTTCACAAAGCAATAAGAAAAATGTTCTGTATTTGAAAGAAAATGAATAAATGTAAATTGTACTTGGCGTGATACACACAATTTAAATTAAAGAGTAGTAAATTTCATCTATACATCATGCATACATCGTGTGTGTGTGTGTGTGTGTGTGTGTGTGTGTGTATGTGTGATATTCATCAGGATCAAGGTAAATTTTTGGTTCTTTTTGGAGTTCATGAAATTGAAATAAAATAATATCAATTATGAAAAGACCATGAGTGCAGCCATGTATAGCAGAAGCCTTATGCTCTGGCACCCAGCAAACTAAGGATATATCCTGAGTGCAAGAATCCCTAGTTTATTCATATTTTTCATATATTTGATCCTTCCCTCAACATTCAATCAGTTCTCTTTATTGAGAGCTAATCCAGCAGCATGAACCTCTATACTGAGAATTAAGTGCAGGGGAAAGCACAAGAATGTTCCTAGCTCCTACATGCACAGTAGTTGCTGTGATTATTCTTCTGATGAGATTGTATAATGTTTCATTTTAGGAATATAGAAATAGAGTGACAAACATCAATCCATTCTGATTCCATTGTGGTGAAAATTACATTTTCATAGGCAGGGCAAATCTTGCCTGGGTGGGAGCGAGGGTGGGTATTACATTACTATAACACCCTAAAATTCAGTCTCATGGTTATAATTTATCTTAATGATATATTATATATCCATTGCTTGAAGAGATGTTATTTAAAAAAAGTGATCGTGCCATGAGAGGTTTACGTTAACGCCTCTCACATATATTTAAAGGAATTGAACATACTCTCATATCTCACCAAAGACCTTTTTTATTTTCACCAGACTAGACTAAAACTGAATGATACCAAGAATGACAAAATATCATGTCCCCTGGCCTTAAGAAAATCTTAAAGAGTATGCGATGTACAGGATTTAAAAACTCTTTCTCTCTCTCTCTCTCTCTCTCTCTCTCTCTCTCTCTCTCTCTCTCTCTCTCTCTCTCTATATATATATATATATATATATATATATATATAGACATATACACAAATACATGGAATTTTATAAGACAAAGACATCAGTTCTCCTTAAATGTTAGTATACAGTAATAGGTGATAATTGCGTGTTTTCATTTTAAAATCTCAGATAATCTTCTATGAAGACAAGGGTTTCCAGGGTCGTTCCTATGAGTGCAGTAATGACTGTACTGACCTGTCTTCATATTTCAACCGTTGCAACTCTATCCGTGTAGAAAATGGAAACTGGGTACTCTATGAATTTCCTAACTATAAAGGCCACCAGTATTATCTCAGGAGGGGAGAATATCCTGACTTTCAGCAATGGATGGGATTTAATGACTCTATCAGATCCTGTCATCTGACCCCTCAGGTAAGTTTTTTTTGTTTTGTTTTTTTATAAAATCTATTTCCAACAAATAATTTGTTATCTATTACTAACAAATAAACAAAAAGTATTGCATTGATTTAATATTGTTGGGTAAGCTTTTTACATGATTTAATATTTTTTGGATACACTTTTAAAATGATTTAATATTAAGAAACATATTTTAATTTCATAATATTTTGATATTTATTGATATATATATATATATATATATATATATTAGATATGAATATATTGAAGCAATCTTTTTAAAGTTTATCCCCAAAGAAATAATAATTTCAAAGTGTAACCAATAATATTATATCAAGGCTTATTATGCAATATATACAACTAGGACATTTTCAGTAAATCGTTATTTTTCTTCATACCAATCCCTCCTCTCCTCACAAATATGTAAATAAATTAAGTTAAAAAGTGGCAATGCTTCCGTTGAACTAAAAAACTAGTTTGGAACCAGAATTGAATTTAGGCTATAGTTGGTACAAAATAAATCAAAATTATGAATGTAAGAGCATTACCAGAGGTCAAAACATAGTATTACAAGCCATTATCAGTTTAATGGTAATATGAGTTATTTCATTAATGCATTCATGCTGAAATGAATAATGATCGTATCACCAGCAGCATCCACTATTTGTAGTCATAGGCAAAAAGCTAAATGAAGAGCAATTTCTATAGGTAAGGATTTTGAGTGCCAATTATTCTAGGTAGTTTTGGGGGTGCCCAAGAATTGGTCTTTGAATATAGCTCAAAATGAAAGAAAATTATAAAAAGATTGTGCTGTTTTAGCCATACATTGCTATGAAATGAGGGGTAACACCAGAAATAAGTAATTGCATTTGAAATTGAAAAGAAAAAGACTAAAAATGGGCAACGTTCCAAACATTGTGGATAATTGCAAAACAGTAAATTATTTATAGGTGATGTCAGATGCTTTATTTGTGAATCGCATTAAGGAGCTTAAATGTGTGAGTTAAAAACATTGAGCAGAAACATTTAAAGAAAATATTCTGCAACAAATTTGCTAGTAAAATAGCAACTCTGTAAAATACATCACCTTATTGGCTATAAGCCTAAACCTTTCCCACATTTGTTAAAATCAGTGTCTAAACAATACTCAAAAAGTCTCACCTCTCTTCTGCATCCTCCAAACCCATGCGTTGCCTTTTGACTTCGTTCATAAAAGTGGCGACAATACTTTGGTATCCATCGTCCAATATTATTGCTCCCCGTATTGTCAACATTCTGGGAAAAATGCATTCACATGCAACTATGTGACTATTATCAACAATCAAACTATCTGACCCTTGCTCAATCAAGCTTTCATCCAAATCACTCAACTACAACTGCCCTCTTAAAAGTTTGCAATGTCATCCAAACTGGCATGGAACAAGGAAACTTAATTTTAGCTATTTCTTTTTTTTAGTTTGCTAAGGCCTTTGACACACACCATTGCATTCTATTGCAAAAACGTAATAATCCGAGGAATTGTTGATCGTTTGCTAACATGGTTTTGTTCATATGTATCAGATTGATCGAAATATGTGTCCATTTCTGATAGGTCATCCCTCCCTCTCCTAGTCACGTGTGGTGTTCCCCAAAGCTCCATACTCAGCTCTCTATTATTCACATTATTTATAAATGACCTGCCTAATGTCTGCAAAGCCTCAACTGTACACATGTATGCAGATGACACTGTAATCTAAACATAGAAACATAGACACATAGAGTGTGACGGCAGATAAGAACCATTCGGCCCATCTAGTCTGCCCAATTTTCTAAATACTTTCATTAGTCCCTGGCCTTATCTTATAGTTAGAATAGCCTTATGCCTATCCCACGCATGCTTAAACTCCTTTACTGTGTTAACCTCTACCACTTCAGCTGGAAGGCTATTCCATGCATCCACCACCCTCTCAGTAAAGTAATACCTCCTGATCTATGCTAGCAAACCCAATCTACCACAGCTTGAGGCTGTACTCCAAGACCAGTTCACAGAGGTATAAAAGTGGATTGCGGATAACAAACTTTTCCTAAACACTGACAAAACTGTCACAATGATCTTTGAAACAGTATCTAAATTACATAAATTACAAAATGCCCAACTATGTATCAGAACAAATTCAAATAACATACTGACTGCTGTCTATTATTCCAATCTATCCTTTGGCCTTCACATTGAAAAACTCTCTTCAAAACTGTATCCAAAAGTAGGAAACTCTGTACAAAATTAAATCCTGCCTAAGCCTTATAGCAATGAAACAGTGCAACATTCAATATGGGGATTTAGTGTATTCACCTGTACAAACCCACCTTCATAAACGTAATATGTTGTTTAACTCATTCTGACACTTTGTACTACAATGTAATTACTTGACCCACAATTGTGTTAAAAGAACTAAACTGGCTATTTCTGGAATCCTGAAGAACCCTCCATCTTTTCAGCCTTGTGTTTAAGAGCTTTTCTGAGAAGCACCCACTGTACCTGAGTAGAATGCTCTCCCCAGTTGTTCCCACCTCCTATAATCTCTAAATCCAGTACCAGCACTTTATTTAGCAACACAAAAATAACCTCACGGACACAGTAAAATCTTATTCAATTCAATCTAAAATCCTTTAAAAGATCTATGGCAATATACTTCAATACAGAATGCACCTGTAATCATGGTTGACTATATTTCTTACCTGTTCTGTGTTAAATTTATATATGTAATTGTAAATGTAAATTTGTAATATTTTATTGCACCCTATTGTAACAATGCAGTGTTTGTGGGCCCAGGGCATACTTGAAAATGAGAGAAATCGCAATGCATCCTTTCTGGTTAAATATTTTATAAATTAATAAATAAATAAATAATTTCTCTCTTAGCCCCACTGGAACAAGCTCACTTCGTGCATCCAATCTGCCAACTCTCCATAATTTTTCTGCCAACTTCACTGAAGCCTTCCCTGTCACTTCCCAATCCCTCACTTGTTCCTCAAAGCTCAAAATATCTGTCCATATAACCAGGCCCGGACTGACCATGAGGCAAACCAGGCAAATGCCCAGTGACCCATGATGGCCAAGGGCCGAAGCTAACAGGGGATATCAGAATATCCCCCTAGCCAGTCCATGCATGGCCGTCACTATCCAAGCACTGGCCCTGCTGTGTGCCATGATGGACAGTTGGGGAAATCAAAGATCACCCTCACCAGCCCACAGGCTCTTCAATGCAGAGAGGAGAGAAGACCGAGGAACTCTAGCCTGCAGCTCCACTGGGTTCTTCCTCTTGCGAGCTTTGAACATTGCTGTGGTTACCGAATCTCACACTCTGGATCCTCTACACACACACACACACATAAACACCCCCCTCTCATGCCAGTCTCCTTTCCACTGGGACACTGTGATTATTAAATACCCAGGCCGACTGTTTTTCCCAGTCCAGTCCTGCATATAACCATCCTAACATTCCCTCATCCCCTGCAGTGTGTCAGCACTGCAGTCTTCTTCCTGTTCTCCTGACGCAGCTCTTACAAATTTAAATTGAGCCTGGGCATTTGGCACAACTAGGTCTATTCTCTTATACCATAAACACTCCACTCTATACCACCACTTTTCATTCTCTGCGAATTCACTTGACCAAGAGTCCCTCCTGACTTCTTATCAACCTCTTTGTCTCCATTCTATACTTATTGTAAACTCATTGTCTTTCTCATTTCCCATTCAATTCATAGTGATTGTGACGCAGACTCACAGTGTACAGTATACTGTTTGTATACTGCTTGTTAAACAGTACTCCTTATACTGGCACAATTATGGATATATTTCTGTTAATTCACATTTATATCTTCTCACTAAAACATTTTATTTGTACAATTCCCCTCTAGATTGTAAGCCCATGAGCAGAGTTCTATTCTCCTTTTGTTTTAGTGTGTCTATGTATCTGCTGTTTGTGTTTACCAGTGTTAAGCACCGGGTAAGCACTGTACGACCTGTTAAATAAATATGCCTTATTTCATCCATTTCACAGCACCGTGGTCCATTCATAATAAAGGTTTATGAGAAAGAAGACTTCAAAGGACAAATGATGGAGTTTACAGAAGATTGCCCCCATGTTTTTGAGCAATTCCACTACAATGACATCCACTCCTGCAATGTTCTTGATGGACAGTGGGTATTTTATGAGGAGCCTAATTTCAGAGGACGTCAGTATTACCTGAGACCTGGAGAATACAGAAGATACAATGACTGGGGTGCCATGAACTCCAGAGTTGGCTCATTCAGACGAGTTCAACATGTGTATTAAGTAATCTGACAGTGTGGCATCTATATTTCCATCAGCTAAATAAAATAAAATAGATGATTACTCAATGATTTATTTATCTGATTTTAATTTATCATATATGTAAATTAAGTGTGTATGAAAGTGTGTGCACTTGTAGAGGTTTGGACCATCACATCATTTTCAAGATCTGCCTCATCCTCAGAGCATCTCTTATGCCCAGTTGAATAGCTTACTATTAGTGAAGCCTTTCACTACATATTTTGTCTCATAAGCCAGATGCCAGAATAAGGTAAAATCATTTACTTAGTAAAATTTTGAATTAAAATACTACATTGTTTTTAATATATTAAAATATTAAATAGAATTAAACATGTAATATCTATAGCTAATTTTGCAATACAAAAGAGCACCAAGAGTTTCTGAAACATTTTGAACGAGGAACCACTGCCAGTGAAGAACAATTTGAATTATATTTAAATGCGTACAAATTTGTGTTTTTTGCATATAGTGCATACATAATAAGTTTGGGTTAGCAAGGTGACCTTTGGAGTCTCAAATAAAAGTTTGAATAGACAGGAGGGTTTGCAACTTTTCATCTAGAGGCAAACAGATCTCTGTGTGGATGTGCCTGTGCTTAGTGTAAAAAAATAAATATGGGTTTGACTGGTTGGAGTTGCTAAAGTCAGGGATGTGATATCATGTGTCCCTTCAATTTCTAACAGCATGACCTATACAGTGTTGTGGATCCAAATAATGATCTTTGTTATATTCAGAGGAAGCCTAAATTATTATTAAAAGTGCACTTGGAGAAGCGAGAATTAGACACCAGACACCTGTTGGTATTCAAAATAAGCCTCTGCCGTTTTATTCATCAGCAGGGTTTTTATACATTAAAAAGTAAGTGCTTACGTGCAAATACTCATAGAACAGTAATAGGAGGGAGTACAGATAAGACAAAGGAATGAACGTCATGTACACATAACAAATAAGTTCCAAGGTAAGAAAGAACAAAAAGATTAGTGAAGAGACATCTCAGGTGGGGGCTCTCTGCTCCTGGAACTAGACATATATGGTGTTGTGTATATAAGTGTTGTGTTAAGCATCAAGCATTTCCTTTCCTGAGTCCAAGCTAGACAATTTTAATATAGGATATCATTAAATGACACCTATAAGCTTGAGCCTTGGAATCAAGATAAATTCTATCACAGCAGCATGAAGAATCACTTTGAGAGATCTGTACAAGCATAAGAGGTCGACTATGTGTCCCGTGACTGCATTAATACAATGTCTCATCTCACCCTGCAGCCACTTGCAAACACTTCCACATCATCATATTTGTAGCCTGGTTGACCTCAGATGTCAAGAGCATCCAGGATACATCTCAGTGGACTGCCCCAGGCCTTGGAAGCAGTGAGCATGAGAGCCAGTACCCATGCACAAACAACACAGTGATAGTCAGCCGAAAGCCAGCACAATTCTTGACTGCTAGCTCACACCTGCAGTAGTCTGCTAACAGAAATCACAACACACCACCAATTGCTTTTAATCAGCAGACAAATAGTGCTGTGAGCCTGCAGCCAATAACCCCAGTACGCTTATGTCCCACTGGGCAGTTGCATCCCTGACCAGTGGTGGAACTGATGTATAGAGGACACTGGTATAAGAAAGTTTTTTGGGCCCACCTCTAGTGCAAGAGTGACCAAAAGGTATAACCCAATCTGTCATACAACTCCAACAATGCTATGCCAGTTGGGGATCTACCATTTACCCATCCTTGCAGGGTTATATTAGTGAGCAGTGTTTGTGCATTTGAAAATAAGCGTTTTTATGTGTGTGATGTAGGGGTGTATTTTTATTTACTATAGCCATTGCAATGTACTTGTGAGTAGTGTTTGCATTTTACAGCAAGAGTGTGTTATTATGTAATGTTGGCTTTTAAATGCATGTGTATTTTGTGTTTCATGTTTGTGTTTGAAAGAAGGGGTGTTTGTATGTAGTTTTAGTGTTTTCATACAGGGTTGTGTTTGTATGTAATGTTTATGTTTGATTGCAAGGGTGTGTTTGGATGTAGTGTTGGCTTTTAAACGTGGATATACGTATGTGTGTAGTACTGTTGTTTTAGTGAAAGGTTGTGTTTGTATATAATTTTGGAGGTTAAACGCAGAGGTGTGTTTGTATATAATATTTGGGTTATATTGCAGGAGTGTGTTTGCATGTTTTGTTGTTTGATTGCTTGGATGTATGCACCTATTCACATACATATTTACACAGATATACATACACATTAACACACAGCTACACATGTATAAACAAACTGACACATACACACAAGTTTATATACAAACCAACACATACATACACACACTGACACATGCACACACCTTGACACATACATACACTCACTGACACATGCACACACTGACACACAGATACACTGGCATTTACACCTTAACACACAAATGCACATACACACACTAACACACCTTGACATTTATACACACAATGTGACACACATCACACGTAAATGTCATTTTTTTATATTCCCAGCCACCCTCCTACTAGCATACCTTTTGTGTCCAGGAGACTGGTTTGCTTGGAGTCCTGCTCTGGCTAAGATCTTTGAGCTCACCCCTGCTTCTCTTCACCTACTGCCTGTGCCTCCACTTCCACACTCCATAGCAGCGCTCTGTTTGAAGCTGGGAGGAAGTGACCTCCACTCAATTCCTCCTAGCCAGCTGATACTACAGCGGCAATACCCATCATGTGGCACTAAGTGCATGGGTCATGCAATGGGCCTCCAAAGTGTGCAAGCCCCAGTGCAATTGCACCAGCTGTACCAGCTGCACCAGCTGCACCAGCGATAGCTCCGCCACTGCCCCTGACAGCTCTTACCTGGAAATAGGACAAAACGAAAAAGGAATAGTTAACTAACACTAAAAATGTGTGGTTGTGTTGGTATTTTGACTAATGCAATCCTAACTATATATATATATATATATATATACAGGGAGTGCAGAATTATTAGGCAAGTTGTATTTTTGAGGATTAATTTTATTATTGAACAACAACCATGTTCTCAATGAACCCAAAAACTCATTAATATCAAAGCTGAATATTTTTGGAAGTAGTTTTTAGTTTGTTTTTAGTTTTAGCTATGTTAGGGGATATCTGTGTGTGCAGGTGACTATTACTGTGCATAATTATTAGGCAACTTAACAAAAAACAAATATATACCCATTTCAATTTTTTATTATTACCAGTGAAACCAATATAACATCTCAACATTCACAAATATACATTTCTGACATTCAAAAACAAAACAAAAACAAATTAGTGACCAATATAGCCACATTTCTTTGCAAGGACACTCAAAAGCCTGCCATCCATGGATTCTGTCAGTGTTTTGATCCACAGCCTCCCAGACACTGTTCAGAAAGGTGTACTGTTTTCCCTCCTTGTAAATCTCACATTTGATGATGGACCACAGGTTCTCAATGGGGTTCAGATCAGGTGAACAAGGAGGCCACGTCATTAGATTTTCTTCTTTTATACCCTTTCTTGCCAGCCACGCTGTGGAGTACTTGGACGCGTGTGATGGAGCATTGTCCTGCATGAAAATCATGTTTCTCTTGAAGGATGCAGACTTCTTCCTGTACCACTGCTTGAAGAAGGTGTCTTCCAGGAACTGGCAGTAGGACTGGGAGTTGAGCTTGACTCCATCCTCAACCCAAAAAGGCCCCACAAGCTCATCTTTGATGATACCAGCCCAAACCAGTACTCCACCTCCACCTTGCTGGCGCCTGAGTCGGACTGGAGCTCTCTGCCCTTTACCAATCCAGCCACGGGCCCATCCATCTGGCCCATCAAGACTCACTCTCATTTCATCAGTCCATAAAACCTTAGAAAATCAGTCTTGAGATATTTCTTGGCCCAGTCTTGACGTTTCAGCTTGTGTGTCTTGTTCAGTGGTGGTCGTCTTTCAGCCTTTCTTACCTTGGCTATGTCTCTGAGTATTGCACACCTTGTGCTTTTGGGCACTCCAGTGATGTTGCAGCTCTGAAATATGGCCAAACTGGTGGCAAGTGGCATCGTGGCAGCTGCACGCTTGACTTTCTCAGTTCATGGGCAGTTATTTTGCGCCTTGGTTTTTCCACACGCTTCTTGCGACCCTGTTGACTATTTTGAATGAAATGCTTGATTGTTCGATGATCACGCTTCAGAAGCTTTGCAATTTTAAGAGTGCTGCATCCCTCTGCAAGATATCTCACTATTTTTGACTTTTCTGAGCCTGTCAAGTCCTTCTTTGACCCATTTTGCCAAAGGAAAGGAAGTTGCCTAATAATTATGCACACCTGATATAGGGTGTTGATGTCATTAGACCACACCCCTTCTCATTACAGAGATGCACATCACCTAATATGCTTAATTGGTAGTAGGCTTCGAGCCTATACAGCTTGGAGTAAGACAACATGCATAAAGAGGATGATGTGGTCAAAATACTCATTTGCCTAATAATTCTGCACTCCCTGTATATATAAATAGAAATAACTCTTGCACTCCAACAAAATGGTTTAGTACCAGGTGCTCTGGTTGCTGGATAATATAAACAAAGAAGTACCGGCACTCCTAGGTTTTCCAATAGAAATCTTCTTTAATTGCCAAAAAATACATCAACGTTTTAGCTCCACTAGGGAGCTTTCATCAGGACATAAACAGCATATAACAAACAAAAGGCTTATCTAGGGAAACATAATTAGGTAGGTACTTACAAGTCCAGCTGATACTCATTCCCCCGTTCCGCCCGATGTGCTCAGGTCGCATGTGCAATAATTTCCGGATATGGACACGTGATCCACCGTTCCAAGTAGACCAATTGATTGATCAGACGCGTCACGTTTCCAGGGCAACCATGGGCGCTATACCTCATTGGTTAGTCCTGCGTGTACTGGCGCTGATGAGGGTTAACCTTCCTCATAATCAGCGGTCTCCTTGTTGTTATAGCAACCAGAACGCAGCCAGGCAGGTTCCTACGGGAAAGAGTAAGGGAGGATAGATACACAGAGGGAAGGATAAGAGAGAAGTATGTGTCATTATAAAAGGTATAAACAAAAAAATATAGACCAGATATATAGCATAAATACCTCTGTAAGTGCAAAAATATATGAGACGTATGCTGGAAATGGAAATTGGCACATATTAAAGAGCCAATAAGTGAATGTGTTGAAATGTACTATCACATGGAAAGGGAAATTCAATGAACCAATAAGGCTAATCTTAAAAATTAGTACTGAATTTAAAAAAAAAACCATGCAAATAAGATTGAGTGAGCTATGTCGACTATTAACATATGTCATGCTAATATAAATCACATGTTAAAGTGCAAAAAAAGATATAAAGTGCAGTGATCATTATTTACATACCTATCAAAAGAACAATGAGCTCTCTATTTCCTCAGGATTTATATCGAGAACATAAATCTCCTTATTGTTACAATCCAATCTTAAATCCCTAAACTTTCCTTAGGTCTTATCGATCCGTATTTATAGCTAGACAATCTTAGTGGAACTACCTATCTCTAAAAAGGGATTATTAAAAAACAGTACTGATAGTTTGATTAAACAAAGTAATAGGGAATCCATGAGATATTTACAAGCTACAATTGCATACTTTACTGCTGCAATAGGTATATGAAAGCGTTCTACATGATGGTCATATTTTTGATGTTAAGGAGAGACTCTTCATTGTGCTTCATTACTGTACACCCAGATTATAACACCACATTTTATTATATGAGTGACTCTTTGTGCTTCATTGAGTCTATGTTAATAACCTCTCATAGATATAGAGAAGACAATGGGCATGTTAATGAGTTCTTATGGAAATCCCCAGATAGAACACCACATCTAATATTTTATAATATGGATGACTCCTCATTATGCTTCATTAAGTCTATGTTAACAGACTATTGTGAGAGTCCCCCAGATATGATCTCACATCTTATAGATACGAAGGTGACAGTGGGCATGTTTTCTAGTAGGAATGATCCTTCATTGTGCTGCATTAGGTCTATGTGAATAATCTCTTATGTGAGTCCCTATATATAACAGTTGTTCCACTTGGGTATCTCTAAGTCTAAAGTAGGCGTACGAGATAAGGAATTTTCCTAAGGCAAGTTATCCTTTAGAAGATAAACCAATGAAAGTAAACCTATCAATATATACAACTATTTACATATACCATAATGATTCATAATGTCCTATAAGACTATTACTTAGACATAGTGTAGCGGAGAGGCAGTATAATCCACAATATCTCCGCTGGGTAACAGGAACAGCATAAAATAATCCAGGAGAATAAGCACAGCATACAATAATCCTGGTAGCGTTGTAGTAATCCTTCCTTCCCAAGAACTAGACGACACATAGGCTGGGAGTCAACTGAGGTTTTATTCACAGGGCACTGTATTTATGGGATTCCCCATGCAAGGGGTTTCCCTACTGACATTCCAGGGGTGGTACAGTAGGGGACTACATGGGGAACTGACCAACACATACATTTCTCCCATCATGCACTGCTGTACGAGAGGGATACTCCCACTGGAATATACAGTTAATGGGATTATCCCTCCATGCAGCAGAACTTACATTCTACATTAAAATACATAACTTTAATAATATTCACTTGTTTTACACGAATGGACGTTCGGTAGATAGCTGGAGGCTGAGCGCATAGTTCGTGGGAATACCGCTCAGCTCCCAGTCTAACTAACCGAACGCCGCACGAAATACACATTATTTCCAACATACTGTAAAAATAGCGATTGATATTAGGGGAACAAACTACCGAACGGCCGGGGCTCCCGAAAATCCTGGAAGTCCAGCGGTGTTCGCCCCGTCGAGTAGCCGTTTTTGGTTCCAGGCGCTCAACGGCAAAACCCCGCTGGGCTAACAAAGGAATCAAGATGGCCGACCGCCGCGTGGTCGATAGCCGAACGACGGCCACCTAGGGAAGTCTTTAACTACCAATTGCAACAATGTTGCAATCGGTTAATGGGCGCCACACGACCTCCTGTGTGTGGTTGACCATTCGGTAGTTCATTCGTTTCACCAACAGTGTTTAAACTCACTGTTCGTGAAACTGCATAGGCAATGCTGGGTTTTACGCATTACAAGCATACAAACGCTCTCATTCGCATGAACGCCCCATACCACATTACACTTGGTTCTTACAGCCAGCAAACCTTATGATATTGACACATGCAATAGTCTTAAGTGGCTAGGTTTGCCACACATAGATTATAATCTCTCCAAAATCTGTACATAGAAGCTATAGAAAAACTGAGAAGGAGAATCCGCTATTTAAAATTTGTGGAGAAAGGCTTTTTAATTTATAAATATGATTCTCTCTGTCTCAGCCTACAATCCCAGTCACCCCTTTGTTGAGTTTGTGGAATTAATTTGATACCTATGAATCTAATTCTACTCGAGGAGACAGAGAGAATCCTACTATAATACTATAATTAAGATACAGTATAACCATGAGACTGGCGGGAACGTCCCCACCACCATATTCACTTACCCGATCCTTTACCATTCCCCCGCCGGCGATCGGTATTCCTCTCGGTCTGGGTGGACTGTCTGACAGCCCAGACAGTGCCCCCTCGGCAAATTAGGCCCCCAAGAGGCCATGTGAGCACTCTGAAATAGCAATAAGCATCCACAGTGCTGACTGCAGGGGGACTGCCTAAACTGACATAAAAATAAATATGTTAATAAATAAAAAATATATCTATTTTATATATATATATATATATATATATATATATATATATATATATATATATATATATATATATATATATATATATATATATATATATATATATATATATACATATATATATATATTATAAAATATAAATAATAAGTAAATTAAAATAATTTTTTAAAAATTAAAAAATAATAAATATATATATATGTAATGTTATTCTAACTGTATTTTGATATTAAAATATTTATGCATATATCAAAATGCATTTAGAATCTAATTAAATATATGCATATATAAATTTAAAAAAATATGAAATATATATATCCATATACATAATTTTCACATTAGATTTAAGAACTAACTGTTCACTTGCTACCTAGGATATCCCACCTCTTGACAGGTGCCATTGTTATGATATAATCAATGTTATTGACTTCACATGTGGGTAGTTTTAATGTTGTGGCTGATCAGTGTATGACTGTTGCTTTTGTCATTATTCTCCATATTGTTATATATGAAACACAACTGTCAAGCTGATGTATGGGTATTTGATTTTTTTTTTTTTAATTGTAGTTAAACACAAATGAGAGAAGACACATAGAAACACATGAATCTCTTATGGCAGTACATCAAGCCAATATTACCTAATATTGTTTGCCTGTATACTGAAAAAGTGCCTGTTTGAATATAGTGCTTTTATACCAGCTTTATGGAATACTTGGAACATTTATGCAAAGATACACATCATATAAAACTGCATCACAAATGTGTGAATTTAAAGACAATGGTGTATATTACATGTTTTCACCGTCTTCTTTTTTGCCTTACAGTAAGGTTTTCTTTATTCCATGATATATAGATTTTACTGAAACAAATACAAAGCATTTATGTTTCATCTGCCTTAGTAAAGACAATGCAAAATTAATAAATAAATAATATACTACACTGCACTGCCCACTAGAGATGGATAGGTGCAGGATTCAGTTAAGTATGTCTCCACATAGTAACGACTACCAAAAAAAAATGTTTGCTTAGAGGGATAGTATTCCTTTTTTGACCAACACTTTGCCTGACCCATAAGGAATATTTTGAGTTTTGACTGCTCCTTGATAACAATGATGTTTATGCTCATAAGGAAGCAAATTGTCTGTTATTCTGAGTAGAATGAAAGCGGAACTGTTACCATATATGGAGTGTGCTGAATTTGAAAGTCCCCCTACGGTGACATTGCCGCCAGTGTTCCGGTGGCTGGGGGGGCCAGATAAAGGTGAGATAACTTACCTAACCTGTCACTCATGGAAGCTGCCATATTTCTCATACTGCTCCTCTTCAACTCCTGAAGCTTCAGCAGGAGCCAATGTCACTGTTGAATTCTCGAAAATTATTGATCACAAACTTGAACTGGAAAAACTGGAAAAAGGCTGTGAGAGACTGGAAAAGGATCAATGTATCAGCAATGTACACCCATTGATACACAGGTGTATAAAATCAAGCACCAAAAAAATGGATCATTCTGAAAAGCTCAGTGAATTCAAGCATGACACTATGATAGGATGTGATTTTTGCAATAAGTCAGTTAGTGAAATTTCATCCCCGCTAAATATATTCGACAGTCATCTGTAAGTGGTATTATTAAAAAGTGGAAGCATTTAGGAACCTTAACCTCACATCACTAAGTACAATGCCATGGATCAAATCGAGTTCTGTAATGCATGCCGCCCCTGGACCCTGGAGCAGTGGAAACATGTTTTGTGGCGTGATGAATCATGCTTCTCTGTTTGGCAGTCTGATGGATGAGTCTGGATTTGGTGGATGACAGGAAAATGTTACCTGCCTGACTGCAATGTGCCAATTGTAAAGTTTGGTGCAGAAGGTTCGGCTAGGCCACTTACTTACAGTGATGGAAATCTTAATGCTTTAGCATACCAAGACATTTTGGACAAAGCTATGTTTCTAACTTAGTGGGAACAGTCTGGGGATGGCTCTTTTCTATTCAAACATAACTGCGCCCTGGTGCACAAAACAAGGTCCATAAAGACATGGTTGGATGAGTTTGGTGTGGGAAAATTTGACTGGCCCACACCTGAACCTCATCAAACACCTTTGGGATGAAATAGAATGAGGTTACAAGCCAGGCCATCCAACATTGGTGTCTGACCTCACAAATGCTTTACTGAATAAATGGGCACAAGAGAGTGAGTGAGTTAGTGTGAGAGAGAGAGAGAGATACATCTATAAATTAGACATTCCAACATACCCTGCTACATCATTTTAAAGAGTGAGGAATTTAAAAGAATAATTGACACACAATATATTTAAGAAGCACTCAAATGAAAACAAAACATTTTGCAAACGTACATGATGATTGATTGAAAAATAACCTTGCACGAATATATCAATAAAATAGACCAAATTAATTGAAAGCTCCAGTATATGAACTACAGAGGAAGACTAGTAAAATATGGTTTCTAGAACATTTGCATAATACAAATACAAAGTTTAAAACTACATTCTTGTAAATGCGGTCTGGTTTATCATTTAAAAAAATATATATTTTCTTATAGCTATTGAACATGTGTCACTGGACAGGAAGAGGCCTGGTTAACACAGAGATAGAGAGGATTGGATATTTAAATGTGATATATTGAGGACATTATTTACTTGATTAAACAATCTCAAATTGTTTTTGAATAATTTGTATTTTTGTATTATTTGATTGAAGATCCATTTTGAAAATACATTTTACTTCAATGTTGTATAACTCAAAGCATTATATTATCCAAGGGAAATAAAACACACAAAACACAATTCAAGCAAAAATGTGGCACATTCTCCTTTGTGATAGTGAACACATTGTTATAGGGAGTTGCAAAATAAATGAAAGAAAAAAAGTATAATGCTCTGGAGGTTGTTCCCAGTAAGCATACATTGACAATGACAGAACACAAAGGAAAGTCATTGAATACAATTATACTGTACATTCAACTTAGTAGACAGAACATGTGACTTCTTTCAACAACAGCTGAAATCAGCAATGAGCTATGTATATAAAAACCCAGAATTCTTTCACTTAGCAGCAATAGCTCTATCAACTCCTCTCCATCCAATATGGGAAAGGTAAGTACTGGGCAGCTATTTTAACCCGGGTTTGAAAGGAATTGTAAAATATGACCATTTGCACCAATGTTGATCTACAAACCATATTTGTTCAGTAATTTGTAGTATATTTTGCCATTAACACTAAATGACAATTGTGTTAGCATTTACAGAAAGGATGCAACGATAACTAGTAAGTCATGTCTAAACTCCTTGCCAACAAATACATGTTATTCAGTTGAATCCATAAAATCTATTTGTGGATTGTACTACAATCACACAAAATTAAGCTTAACTTTTTTTAAAATCTGATAACACATCACGATTGTCACAATATGAAAGCATAATCCTAAGAGGTCAGTTGTGTCTTCTTCAATTTTTCTCTAAAGTGATGTTTTACCGTTATAAATAATGTGCATTTATATACATGACTTTTTTATGTCCTACAGATCATCTTCTATGAGGACAAGAACTTTCAGGGTCGCTCTTATGAGTGCAGCTCTGATTGTTCTGACCTGTCCTCCTATTTTAACCGCTGCAATTCCATCCGAGTAGAGAGTGGAAACTGGATACTGTATGAACAGCCCAATTTCAAAGGATACCAGTACTATCTTAGGAGAGGAGAATACCCTGATTTTCAACAATGGCTGGGTTTTAATGACTCTGTCAGGTCTTGTCATTTGACAACACAAGTAAGTTTAGTCTAATTGTCATCTTTCATTCCAGATAGGTATTTATTAAAACTGACTTATTTATACATCATTGTAAAACATATATGTCAACCAACTGACACAACCCAAGTAACACTTTACATATTTAAACATTTTAATGATAGCTGAGCAGTCAACCATGGGTGATACGTCATATACAGAACTCATCATAGATTTCCCAACTTCATATCGAGTGATCATTTTACGTTAAAATAGTTTAATGTTTAAATATTTTATGCATATAATAGCTTGGTAGAAGTTTGCACTTTCAATACACATTGGCTTTTTATTAACTTATTTTATTTCTTCTAGCATCGTGGTCCTTTTATAATCAAGGTTTATGAGAAAGAAGACTTCAAAGGTCAGATGATGGAATTCACCGAAGATTGTCAAAATGTACACGAGAGGTTCCGTTACAATGACATCCACTCCTGTCATGTCCTTGATGGTCACTGGATGTTCTATGAAGAGCAGAATTACAGAGGGCGCCAGTATTACCTGAAACCTGGAGAGTACAGAAGATACACCAATTGGGGAGCCATGAACCCAAGAGTTGGATCCTTCAGGCGTGTCCAGCACCTTTATTAAATCAATCTGATGCAATGTATAGAATGTTATCAATAAAATCTCTAGAACAGCACAAACACTGTCTGTTTGTTCATTTGTTTGTTTGTTTGTTTGTTTGTCTGTTTGTCTGGATTCGTTGCTACGAAATATTGTTGCAAGACATTTTTTACATTTATATTATAAATTGAGTATTTTGTTTTGAAGTTTTATTAAACCATCTGTGGAATTATGGGACTTACACTCCAACAATTACTAGAGGACCCATAACAATATTGCCAAAGAAGGCAAACAAAAGTGTCTGATATACATGCGTGCAATTTTACTCCATTAACAACTCGGAGTTGGAAAACCCTGGTGTAAAGAAAGGAACATTATAAACAGATTTATAGTAGAATATAATATCAGAGAATGAACCAACTTGTCAGTGTAATGCTGATAATTTTATTGGTTACTTTTATCTAAAATGCAAAAGGAAAATAAGAATAACATCATGTAGCTTGAAATGAGCATGGTTAACATATTTTACTATATGCTTACTTAAAAAAAGATATGTTATGTTTCAGCAGACAACTTCCCTATCTATGGATAAACATAGTAAACACTATGTATATACTCTCATGTAGTAAAATGAATACAGATTAAATGGATGATCACAATAGTGTTAGCATGCATACATGTAAGAAAAAATTAGCACAATGCTTTCCAGGCTTTTACATTTAATCCCTGTGAAAGTTATTTAATAACAAGCCCCTCAGTAAAAAGGTTATGTACTTGTAAAAAAAAAAGTTAGTGTTTACAGTTTATGAATGCAAAATATATAAAAGCAAAAATAAAAATAATAATAAATAAAAAATAAATATAATTAAACAAATGTAAAATAAAGTACAGTACATTTTACATTATTATGACGTTATACATCAGAAAGACATAGTTTCATATAACAGAGTATTAAGGCTTTGCATAGGATGAGGATTGTTTAATAAACAGGAATGGAGAGGCTAGCAAGGGTTCAGACATATAAGTCTAATAGTGGAACATTATAAAGTTGAGATTAATAGCAAACCTGAGGGGAAGTCTAGATTGATATCTGGAAAGATTTCCAGGCTGACCACAAGTTATCTTGAAGCATAGTGACCAAAATGTCTCCATCACAGTACAAACAAGGAGAGACAAATGTGTGCTACACATACGGGCACAAGATTCCAAAGCAATAAGTTTTTCATAAATAGTTCAGCATGATTAGTGCAGTAACAGAAGAATTGCAGACTGCCCAACAAAAAACATGGGTTCGGGATCTTAAAAGTTGACTATTTATTTTTAACAGTGTCCATTTGGGCATACTGGTTCTAAACATAATTTTGTAACCAAATAAAACATTTTGAATAGTAGACTTGTGTAGAGCATCGGGATATGAGAGAGTTAGGCCTCAGTTTAATAAGCTGTCAAAATAATTCAATACTGTTAGAAAAACTTCTGTTATATTCCTGTAGACTTCTATAGTAACTTCTATGGATACATCATTTTGAAAGTGACCTTTACATAGTGGAGAAACAAATTATTCCATCAGAGTCTAGTTAGCATATTTGTTGACTGGTCAAGCAGTTGAATAAAAATCAAGGATGTGGGGCTCAATTAATGCTATATGAAAATATGTGCAGGCTGCATTAGCAACATGTGATCCCATGTTTAAAGCCCTATGTGATACATTTAATTAAAAAAAAAAAAAAAAAGCAAGGTGAATCGTTAGTGTAGGACTCCCCTAAGAGGTTTGCCTTGACGTGGCAGGGGAGCTCACATTAGGCCATTGGAGTGGAACTAAAAACCTCCAGTTACATAAATATGCACGGGGATTTGTGAAAGTGCACAAGTAACTCTTTCCTGGTTTCTGTTGTATGTATTGGGGCTGATGTGTACTATGGTTGTTGCTGCCACCCAGTTATAGTGGGAGTCTGAGCGCAGGACTTATTTTGTGTATTTCTATGTGATACATTTACTTTATGTTAACTTGCCACGTTAAAGCGGTGTGGTGCGAATTCAATCATGAAAGGTTTGTTCCAGGTGAAGAATAAAATTATGCCAGGCCAAGTATTGCAAACAAAGGTTAACCCGTTATGGGTTGATCTGGCTTATATTGCAATATGATTAATCCAAAGTAAAACCCAGAATCAGCATGGAAAGTTAGCTTTGAGCATTGAACAAATACTTATATACTAATTAAATATGCAGAATTACTTATTTTATATATTATTATATATATTAACCTAATTCCTCATAAAGAATGGACTACAATATCAATATCATCCCATTTACATCACAAAGTAGATTTGAAAATGAGTTAAAACCAGCTTGAACAATGCCAGAAATAGTGATTTCAACAATTATCTGACTCTTGCCACATAGTTTGATTAGTAACATAGCATGCCTCCCAACCATTCTGATTCTGGTGGAAATATCCCAATTTCCGGGTCCACTCCCACCATACTGACTTATTTCCCTGCCCTGGTGTCCCACTTTTGGGGACACCAAGAAACTGTTACCAACAAGTATAGCATGAACACAGACATGCTTGCATCTTGTTAAGGTCACTTGGACCTTGCAGGGAGCACTAAATGATAACGAAAAACCTGGACAGATGGATATCCAAAAGGCAGAAGTTATTTCAGGAAGTGGTACAGCAACCATTTCGGCTCACAACCTGAGCCTTCATCATGATGTTCCAGTGTTTATATATATATTTTTTTATGTTTAATTGTTATATTTTATTATATTTTTATTATATGTTTTTAGTCATGTTTATTCCCATTATTGTACATTGTACCAATAGTAATACTTTTTAATTTTATATAAGGAATATGCTTTTATCATTTCATACATAAAGGGTTTTTCTGTGCTCTCATATACATCCTGGTTTTATTCCTTTTATTTCTTCTATCCCTTTTATTTCCTCCAATTTTAATATATATCATGCTGACATTGTTTTCCCCTGTTTAGCACTATACTCCCCATGATCCCATGGGATGGGAGACAGTTCCAGCCACTCCCCCTCCTGTCAGGTACTCCCCCAGTCTCTTCTAAGCATGGAGACTGGGTAGAAACAGTTCCCATGGCGACGTGACCCGGCCGGTCACGTGGCATGTGTTGCGGCCACCATCTCCTCATTTATATATGGCCCCACTTCTCCAAGATACAGTGAGATCGAGCAGGCACGGTCTCCATGGCAACGTGACCTGAGTCGATCACGTGGTTCAGGTCGCGGCCACCATCTTGGGACTCGAAGTCCCCATACTCCTAAAATAAACGCTCATTTTTGGTGGGGAAGTACTCCTTTCACTTCCCCACCTCCAATACATTGCACCAATACACTAATCACACCAGATCAAGTTTATTCTCCTTAGTCTTACCCAAATGGTGGTGGGGGCCATTTTGGTGTCACTAATTAGCATATCTTTGCGGCCATCTGGGTGCCCCCTTCTTAAAGCTGTATAATTTCTTCTCCTTTTTTCTCTTTTTAAAATAAAGATTTATTCTTATATGTTTCTAAGATTATTCTTATTTTATGTTCCCTTTCTATTTTATTTGTATTTTTTATTGTATTACCTCTGTTTTTTAATTTTTATGATTATCACATGATCAATGATGTCACTAATTACAATGATGTCATCAACAGTATTTGCTCTTTAAACAGGATAGGCCTCTTATGCTGTAACACTTCGATAAAGCCTCTTTGCAGGTGAAACGCATTAGTGTTTTTAAAAGCTGTTTTATGCTATAATTGATTTTATTTGTCTCCAATAAAGATAGCCGATTTATGCTATTTGGAGCCTCCAAGTCTATCCTTTTAAACATTTTAATATGTTTAATATTTTCAAATTTTTTATCCTCAGGACCCAAGAAGTAATATCCTTGGTGGGGATCATACCACCCATGCCAACTAACATTGAGCAATATTCCATTTGCTTTACACTTGTGAGTATACCTCCTTTGTTGATATTTGTTTTATCCTGTACTATTCAGAGAGCACTATTTTGTGTTTTTATCTCTTTCCTGCATGATGAGAACACTCAAATGCTGGACCACTGCCACTGAAAAAAAAAACAACCTCACCATCTCTGAAGACACTGCTGAGAACGCACAAGGACAAACAATACAGCCACAGACAGGGATTATAAGCTCCAGAAAATTGTAAGTGCATTTTTTCTTTTATTTACCAACACCAGTGGCCTAACATACTGCACTATATTTTTGTCTTTTTCCTTTCCTCCTCCATGTCGGTTTGAGCGTGGAAATACCGTTACAGGTGCTGCTTCCTGACACTATCTTCTATACTTATCAAAATATGTGCTCACGCTATGTTAAGGGCACTAGGACCCTGCAGTGGTCTGGGTGCAGTGTACCAGGTCAGTTAACCCTGCAACTAAAGCCACTAGAGGTACTTTCAGGCCGTTAAGCAACTTTTTGCCGCCTAACTGGACGTCTTCACCCTATGCATGGGGATGTCCAGGGTCACCCAAATCCCCATATAGCATTGTATAATGCTTTCTTATGGGGAAATCCTAATAAGAGGTGGACCCGAGCCAGCACCAAGTGATATCGGAAGCTGGACTGAGGTAAGTGACAGAAGGGGTTTTTAACCCCTTCTGCACCATGGGGATTGGGAATCCACGAGGGAGGGGGGAACTATAGTGCTTTGTTTTACTGGCACTATAGTTTCATTATATATAATCTTTATTGATTTTTTTTACACATGTAACAATTTGCATTGTTTGCAATTCATTATTAATATTATATAAAAAAATATATATGCCTCAATATATGCAAGTACACATAAATAAATATTAAGACATCATTAAACAAAAACCTGGTGCATGATCTTTGTTTGGTATAGTGCACAGTATAATAAGGATAGCCACGTGAGTAATTGTTCTGTTTTCTTTAATTGTTTTAATTGGTTTATCCTGAGTTTTCTATACTTAGACTAATTCCTCATTCAAACATACACACAAATATAACTACTTAAGGAACGAGGTAGAGCATCATTAATGGTATGTTCTCTTTCTTCTTTCCCCTATTGGGGAAATGGAGCCATCTTATTGGTTTTGTTCATAATTATTTTTAAGTAAAAAAAAAATGTTCGAGTCAAACTTGATTTGTGCTCATAGATATGTCCTTCCACTTAGTCCAGATCTTCTTATAGAGATTGCATTTACCAGCATTGTAGTAAACGTTTTCCTCCATTTGTAGTTAATAATCAATCTGAGGGGCTATTTATAACCAGGTTGTAACTTTGGCTAACTTACAATTTCTGGCAATTATCAATTTAGTTGCCATTAAAATGTGAATTATTAAGATTTTAAGTTCGATGTTATAACTTGGATAATCAAGATGAAATAAAAAAGTTTAGGAGGCTATTGGTTGTTTCAAAACTTCCAGATCTTTACATATGTTGTAGATCTTAATTTTTATTTAATTTAAAGGGACACTAGAACCAAAACAACTACAGCTTAAAGTAGTTGTTCTGGTGAGTATAATAGTTCCCTTCAGGGTTTTTCCATGCAAACACTGCCTTTTCAGAGAAAATGCAGTGTTTACATTACCTCTCGGGACACCTCCAAGTGGCCACTCCTTAGATGGTCACTGGAGGTGCTTCCTGGGTCAGTGCTGCAAAAACGGAAGTCCTGATTGGCCAAAACAGCATTTGGCCACTGGAGGTGCTTCCTGGGTCAGTGCTGCAAAAATGGAAGTCCTGATTGGCCAAAATGGCATTTGGCCCCGCCCCTGTGCTGATTTTAGCCGTGCCAGTTTTATGGGAAAACATTGGATTGGCTAAAAATCGGCCATTTTGATGATGTCACAAAGGGGGTGAAGCAAGCACTGGCTGACCCGTGCGGGTTAGGAATAATATTTTCTGTTCCTGTCCGTATAGTGTTCCTTTAAGGATATACACTCCCACCACATATGATACAGTGTGCCAATATTGTTTAAAGATCTCTAACATATATTTGAATAATCAGATTTACATTATATAATTCTGTACAGGGTGAGGTACCATCTCTATGTTATTTTAATGAAAGTTTCCTGTAAACTTAAACTATGGGTAGCTTGTTTCACCATTTGAAATGCCTCCCCCATTTTTTCAATGAGAAGGCTTTTTTATAATCTGGCTCTATAGTTTCGAATAGTTTTCAAGCCGGTAAATAGAGACAATATAAAATAGATAGATAGATAGATAGATAGGCAGACAGACAGACAGATGTCTTGATTTATCTAATTTGGTCTCTACTGGGACTGCATTCAGGACTATTTCAATTGCTCCCAGTTGTTCATTTCTTGCTTTTTTCATTTTAAGCTAGCAAGCTATTATTCATGTGAGGTTGACTTTGGTATGGAAATCACTGCTGCCAAAATTATCAGCAATGCCAGGAATTTGAGAAACAAAAGCTTTATCCAAGCACTACACAAAAAAAGAATGATCAGGATAAAAAAAAGCTTAAACAAACAGAACGCTAATTTTTTTTTAGACACAGGAAAAAAAAATACACCTTTTGTTTTATATTTGCTGATGAAGCAATGATAGACTGTATATAGCAGCAGATGTGTCTGATACTGCAGTTCACTGAGTGGCCTCTGATAAAGTCAAAATGGGGAAGGTAAGTGTACATTTTCAGCGTTTTGCTGATACAGGCCATTGAGGTATCTATGTTTGTTTATATTAATTAAATATTGTATACTGAGATTATTTGGGTGTAAATTTAACCTCCTAATATGGCAATTTGTACCAGTAATTAATGCATTAGCTCCGTGTTAACAGAGTCTTTTTTCACAAAAAGAATTTCACCAAATTAATTCCAAATGGCAAAATAGAGGCAAATAATAGCCAAGCTGTGACTATAGCCAAGTTGGACAATTTTTCCAACTTTTACCTAACTTTTGCTTTAAGAATTAATTTGCAAAAATTCAGAGTTTAGTTAATAACCCTGTAAAGTGTGAACAACACATTTTATGCCAAAACAACCAAAGTGAGAACATTGACTTAGAGAAATATACCAGTATAATACATTTTGAAATTCACTTTAAATTCTAAAACAAATATAACCATATTAGCTACTTAGTATATCAGTGAATGCTGATATGTAGATGTTGTAGAGCTGCTTAACTTTTGTCATTATTAATGTGATAAGATTTGAAGTAAAAACCAGCAGGAAACAGCAAGTTGTCAGATCTTGTATAACATAGCCAATATTTTTGATAAGCTTTGCAAACGATTTAATACTTTTAAAATTATTTCATATTTTTTTAAAAATTTGTAACATTTTCATATGTTTTATTTATTGATATATATGTTATGAAGGATATTTTTTTTTATATTTTAACATTGTGAACATTTTTTATATTGTTTATACAAAAAATATTACATAATTTGAAAAAACCTACTCTAAAATTATTAAATTTGTGCCTTAATGGATTGTGTATTGAATTAGTACAGATGAGGATTAACTACAGGGCTAGCCTACTTCTCGCACTCTAAGAATTAACTATATTTTCGGAAGTATAGTTTCCTACATTACAATTGTGGCAGCAGATGGAGAGAGCTATGGGTTTTGGAGAGAGGCTCCTATATGGTTCTACAAAAAAATGTGAGATAGAGCCCAAAGACTAGTAACGCTATAACCTCAACAAAATCTCAACAAACCTTTAAGTCAGCTTTTAAAGGGAATCTGTAGTTCCCAAAATAAAATGTATTTCAAGACTATTTTAGCGACTTCTGTCCACCCCCTTTTCTGTGTTAAAACAGAAAAGGCACCGACCAATCGGCTACCTTCTATGTAAGAAGCACGCGGACTTCTTTTACATTCTTATCCAGTCCAGTGCTTCTCATAGAGAAGCATTTGAGACGAGAGATGCATGCACTACTCTGTGCAAGCATGCTGTATAAGAGGCATTGATTGAAGAATCGAGTCTGATTATCTATTGGCTTTCATCTGGTGTTAGGGGGTGGTCAGGGACAGGGCTGTTTAGGGATATTTTAGGTGACTTATTAATAACAATGTTTGCAACTAAAATGTAACTTAGAACAAGAAAAATGGTTCTTATTTACATAGACTGATTTCTAACCCCATCTATTGTAGCTTAAATACATATTTTTGGGAGAATCATTGCGGTGGAGCTCTAGTATACACTCAGGAACATCAACAATTCGGAGCACCTAGAAAAGTGGGACATTACAATAGAAAAAAGAGATATAAAACAGGACCTCTTCTCCTAGATAGGGACAATTAGGATGTATGTTTTATGTTATTTATATGCTTGTTTATTAATGTATTGGAGTCAACTCCTGTCTTGGGTGTTCATTGATGTAGCATGTCAGCTCTCAGATTCACAAGTAACATCATCCAAAAGGAAAATTACATTAAACTGTATAAAATGTTAAAAATGTACCTACAACTGTGTCCTGTGTAGAATATATGACCATAGAATAAGCTTTTAACCATGTAGTTGATGGAAAATGCATAAGGTATATGCTTTTTCTTGGCCTTGCCATTGTTTTAAAAATATCTTAAATCATTAACTCCCAGAATGAGGATTTGTCTTTTAGCCCCTCTCCTTCGCTCAAATAGATAAGTAATATATTTAAGTTTTAGGTCACCATAGGCTCAGTCGAGTCAATGCACCTCACTGAATTAACCACTTGTCAGGCATATTGTTCAAAAACTCATATAGTAACAGCCATACTCACATATGCAGGCATAAATACATACACAAATATCAAAACATACTCATACATTCAAACATACATACATGCAACAAATGCCATTCCTGGTGTCCAGCGGGAAGTAAAGGGGTGAAGAAAGAAAGATAAACAAAAGGATTCATTGTAAAATCTTTTTTTTTCTAAACAGAGGCAGATATGATTTATTTACAATTATATGTTTACACTCGTTGGCAAGGCAACAATTATTTTTATAACTTAAATAATTAAAAAAAAGTCTGTCAGTTTTAATTTTATATTGTTATTGATTTCTAATAAGAGTAACAGAAAAGAAAGAAGTAATGTACCATTGAAATGTATCGGTAACGTTTAATTTTCTGCAGATCACATTCTTCGAGGATAAGAACTTCAAAGGTCGCTCATATGAGTGCAGCAATGACAACACTGATCTGCACTCCCACTTTACTCGTTGCAACTCCATCAAAGTTGACAATGGCTCTTGGATGATATATGAGCAGGCAAACAACAAAGGCCACCAGTATTTTCTTAAAAAAGGAGAATATCCAGACTACCAACACTGGAACGGGTTCAATGATACCATCAATTCATGTCACATGATCCCACTGGTCAGTTAATTAAATTATCTATATATTAAAAAATATATATTATTTAGCATGTGTTAATGTGTTAACAGTCGACTGTTAGATGACCAGACCATACTTTTTGTGGGTTGATTCACTAGAAATGAGACCAGAAATATCTGATTCAGATATTCTGTTTTGTTCAACTCTGCTGTTTTGGTCTAATTTTGCAGTCAGTTCTCATGTCACTGTTCAGAATAAGGTTTATTACAAAATAATCAGAACATATTGTTTGAATTAAAAAATTTTGATAATATCACCATGAAACATCTCCCAAAGGTAGCAAATATTATATAAAACCAGTGTGCATGATAAGTGTTCTAGAAAATAATACTGTCATGTTAACACCATTATTGTCCTCATTTATTATATATTATTGCTGCAATCATTTGTGTCTATTAATATATCGATCAAATATGTATGAACTGCAATTGTTTTTGATTATATTCAGACTATGAGATGGTCTACGAGATTGGCTATGTATTCGTTCTTGGGTAAAAAGCCAGTACTTGCAACAATAATATCCCATAATATTCAGTATAACAGGACTGCTACTTCTCTTACATTTCTTCATTCATTCATCCCAGTAAACACTACCTAGGATTAAAAAAAAAAAAAACCTACCTAGGTTTGTAGTACAGAAAAAATATGTAAAAACAACAAATGCTACAATTGTATCCATCTATGCTTGGTTATGTGCAGAGAAATACTGTGAACATACCATAGAATTTTTTCCCTTTGATTTGAGTAGACAGAATTAATGTTTTAGAATAAATTTGATGGGCTAATATGTTCATTATTGTAGGAAAGGGTGTCTTTCTTGCCTCCCTATCCCATAGCTCTTACATGTTAAATATGAGAGATAGTGGTCGCATGCAAAAACCGACCGGTACCTGCTAAAAATTCCTGTAGTTTCTTCAGTATTGCTGTTGACATCTTGGTAGCCTACTGATATGATTTCACCTCATCCTCTCAGGAGCTTTGGAGAGTTGGTGCCACAGTTTCTCCACTTATTGATGATGGTTTTTACAGTACTCCATGGTACATCCAGTGCCTTCAATATTCTTTTATATTTCTTTTCTGACTGGTACTTTTCAACAATTTGCTACAATTTGACAACTTTATGTAGGCTGAATGAAACCTGTGACAGGTTGAATGCAACCCAATACATTAAATCAAATCCTACAGCAACACTTGGTTTTAATCTCTGTTTAATAAAAATATCTTTCATTAATGATAAGTGTACCTATAGGCATGATTTAGAAAGTTGTGTATGTGGCAGTTTAGGGCTCAAACTGTTTTGGTGGGATTGAAGAGGCAGCTCAACAATCCTGTTTGGAGTCTCTCTATTTCCTGGCAGATGTAGAATGCTTGTACAAAGAGGAGGGAGTAGTGCCTCGCAATATGTTCTGGTTGTATATGATTTAGCATGTTATTGGTTTACTGTCTCCTCATTATTATATTTAGGATTTTGTAATTTAATTGTTGGGGGGTTACTAAAATTATTTTGTAGGTTAATTGCTGGGGGGTTACTAATAATTATTTGTTTTTCTCTGCATGTTTGCTGGAAGATCACATTATACATGGAAAAAGTCCAACATTTACATTGTAGTTATTTATGTCTGTAAGTTTTGAAAATCTATAATTTCATAATGGTGTGTAGACTTTACATATCCACTGAAGAGAGAGAGAGAATATAATCTTTTAATATGTAAAGGAACACTTTTATAAGTGTGATTAGTATGCATGACTCTTATTCAAATATTCTTTCTCTATAGCATTCTGGGTCTTTCACAATTAGACTGTATGAAAAAGAGGACTTCAGAGGTCAGATGATGGAATTCACTGAAGACTGCCCACATGTCTACAAAGACTTCAATTACCATGACATCCACTCCTGCAACGTACTTGAAGGTCATTGGATTTTCTATGAAGAGCCCAACTACAAGGGACGCCAATACTACCTGAGACCCGGTGAATATAGGAGATTCAGTGACTGGGGTGCATCCAATGCTAGAGTTGGCTCCATTAGAAGAGTTCAAGATTTTTATTAGAAATGTAAACATGTGCACCTCTGTATTCCTAAGACCTGATTAAATACAGCATTTTCCTTCCCAAAGAGTTTATTTTCTTAAGATAAGTATATTATTACTTTAATAACATTCTAAATATCTTATTCGATCCATGGTCACAACTACTGTAGATATATTGATATGCCTAACATTAGCTAAGCTATATTTGTGAAGCAAAAAGAGTACCTTTATTTACTACTCACTATAAGTCTTCAAGAAGATTTTCCCTCCATTTTATGTAATAGAAGAGTAATATGAAACATAGGAAGTCCATTATGTGTAAGATGGGAGAGAATAAAAACGTAATGTGGAAAAACAATATTTTAAAAAATATTATTTAACAAAGATGAAAACCATTAAAAAACAAACAATAATTAAAAGTATTATTGCACACTAGGGATAATGTATCCAGTCTCCCAATACATGTTACTCGAAGGTTTTGATGAAACATAAAACAGAACTCAAAGTGGCAAACATGTGAACATATTTACCATGTAAATTAAAACATACTTAAATTACCTTGAAATCTCATCCACAGATTTATAGATAACAAGTTCCTCATCAGGCATTTCATAAAATATTGTCTTTACACTGTGCTGGCAAAATGCTTTATAAATGTTTACATTAAATTGGACTATTTTGATGTTTATAGGCTAAATTAATGGAATAAGCAACACATGCCCCATGTGTTGCGACAGTAAGTTATGGAGATGAATCTAGAAATCAAAACTATAATTCCACTATACAGATTAGTAGTCTAGTTAAAATTGTGGTATCAGAGATGCAGAGGTTTGTGTATAATCTGGTTGTATAAGACCTTCATTGTTATTCAGGTGCTCTAAGTTTGCAACAGCAAATATTTGTACAGACCTCTTCCTAGTCTGATGTGTGAGATGTATAGATGTTCGGTTCTGCAGAAGACAAATTCATTACAATACACCATGTGGCACTCTCTTACAATGATCAGTTAAGGTATAACAAATACTAATCTGCTTGTGGCTTGACATGTCACCATGACGTCAATCATTGTTCATCCAATGCATGCATCAACAGTAAATAAATTAAACAAGGAGGAGCTATTTAGGCGACTGAAACATAAGATATTGTAGATCTTTTGTCTTTTTAATATCTCATCCAGTGATGGACCGGATTCCCTTATACAGGGAAGATTCACCAGCTAATCCTTTTGTCCACTTCCAAAGAGTAAATTCCTCAATTAAGCAAATCATGGAGCTCTTCACCATTAAGACAAATAGAGAAGTCTCAGCTGGCGCAAGTGTTAAAATTATCCAGACTAAAGTCCTCTTATATTTAAGAGATGGTGAAGTATAGGAAAAACAATGGAGTGTTAGATAAGAAAGACAGGAGAGAGGAAACAAGGCTGAAAATGACACTGGGAACACCCATAAAGAGGTTCAGGAAGAGAGTAGCACAATGAACACTGAATAAGCCATAAAACTACCCTTTGCTAAAGAATACCAGAAGAATAATAAACTGTTTTTAACTTTTTGAGAAATGATATATGTTTTGGGACAGTACAGTCAGAAGTATGGTGGAGAGTTCACCTTCATGTTCCCAGGTTAAAGAAGTAATAAGAGAAACTGAAAGCTGTATCCCAGTGTTTGTACATTCCACCATCTTGCCAGTTTGCCAAATGCAAAACCGACCTTTTTTGGGACAGTGATATGTAGAGATTCAACTTTTAACATGCTTATCTATTCTGTAAAATAGTCATATGGCTCTGGTCAAATAATGGGTGATTACTAGACGATGGATAAAGTAGCAACTTCACTGAGCATTACAGTCACAGGAGTAGTCACTACAAATGGTATGGGTAAGCAAGGTCATTTGTGGCATGTGGCGCTTGAATTAACAAATGCACTCTTTTCAATGGACAAACAGTTTACTTTGATTCTTGATTCAGAGTTCTACTTAAGGTGCCAATAATGTAGATGATTGAAAGGAAAAAGAACAGGTTAACTTTGCCTGGAAGAAAAGTCAAGCAACTGTTAAGTTAGCTATGCTGAATGATGTTGCTGCAAGTATGGGTCCCCAGGGGCATGCTAAAGAAAAGGATCAATGATTGGCAAGTGCTATTATCAACACATCCCTGTCAGCCCTGCACACACACATCACAGTACAAAGCCTGATATCCTGGAAATGGTTCAAGATGAGAAGGGCTGGCTGAACTCACCTGAATATGTATAAATAGGCACCACACTCAGTCCACTGACAATGTCCCCTTTGGCTAGTTTACTATTGCTGCTGGGAGCCAATTTATACAATAAAAAAAGAAAATCCAGCACACTCCATTATCCCCTAAACAGCAACTTCAGTACTGACAGATTTAGTTAGTTTTCTTTGTTTTGTTTTTTTAAAAACACCTAATCCAGGCAAAAATAAATAATGGGGGTTTAGTCACATTATATGATCATACACTGCACAAGCCTGCCACAACATCAATGTACCCCCATCTTTGGCAGGTCCTACACTACCAGCTTAGTGTCTGCTTCATGAGCTACTTTCTTGGGGGAAAATCCATCTAGAGTTCTCTGCAGTACAAGGCTAAATAGGGCTCTGGGATGAGGCACCTGTGACAGGGAGGGGTGCGAAGCCAAGGAGTTGGCTAGACTCCCAAATATATATGTATATATATATATGAGAAAACAGGGGGCTGGCTGCACTCACCTGAATATGCATTAATAGGGTGCTGCTGGGAGCCAATTTATACACACAAAAAAAAGAAAATACAGCGCACTCCATTATCAACTGAACAGCAACACCTTATCCAATGGGGCTTATAATTTTTTGCCTGGGTTAGGTGTTTAAAATAAAAATAAATAAATTTGTCAGCACTGAAGTTGCTGTTTAGGGGAAATGGTGCAAGAGACACACATAGAGAACTGCAGACTGCAATAGATATTTACAGATTGCAAAAAGGACTGCACTGGTTACAAGAAAGATTTATTATTTTGGGTTATGTTAATGCCCATGAAGCACAGACTTTGGCACTGCAGGTCCCCTCTCCCTCCCACAACCCATCCCCGGTTGCTGAAGGGGTGAAAACCCCTTCAGTGACTTACCTGAGACCCCCGCCGAGGGAGGGGTTTCGGGTCGCCGCCGCTCCTCCCCTTCATCACGTCAGCCGGCGGGGAGACTGAACCCGCCCGCCGGCTGAGGAGACTTAATGTGCATTAGAGCTCTCCACAGGAAAGCTGTCAGGGTCCCGCGGGCGGCTGCGAGGGGAAGTTACAGTCCGCTCGCTACACTCACCCTCCAGCTGTCCGCGGTCCCCTTCCTGGCGTGCGCTCGGTGGGCAGCATCCTCCCAGCCACGGATGCCGCCCGCGTCTTCCTCTGTATCCCCCAGCGGCAGCATGCATGACGCTGCATCCTGGGAGACCGCCCATTTTAACAAACGCTGGGGTCAGTCCCCTGACCCAGCGTTAAAGGCACAGTGCCTCAATCACAGTGGGAGGTTTAGATATCTCCCACGTGTGATTGTTAATTCTGATTGGAAATTATCCAATCAGAATTAACCTATGGATTTAAATACTTACCTTTCCTGTTCCTCTCCACCCTGTTGTGGTCTTTACTTGCTAGTATTGCTACTGAACTTGTGTTTCTGGTTACGTACTCTCTGGCTTGTTTATCCGACTTTGTGACTTTCTCCTACCCTTTGACCTCGGCTTGTCTATCGTTATTCTGTCTTCTGGTTCCCCTTTACTCGGCTTGTTTCCTGACTATTCTTTGTGTGCTTAGCCCGGCCACTCTAAGGTCCGGTACTACACTTTGTGTGTGTGTTGGCATGTTTGGTTCCCCGAATCGTGACAGTGGGCATGGATGTGGGTAGTGTCTTATCAGTCCTCCACGTAAGGGTGCGGGTGATGGTTGTCTTGGGTCCCTCCCATGGGGGGGGGTGTATTAGGTCTTGGGTGGGGTGTTTCCCTGTCCGGCAATTATTTTCTTTTTAAAGCAAAATTCTTAAGATTAGAAATTCAAGCATGTATTTCTAGTTTTGAGTTTCCGCTGACATATTTTGATAAATGCCTATATTTGTTTTACTCATCTGCCATCCCTTGCCAAGCTGGTCTCGTTGCTGATACCACTCATCCCCTTCCTGCAATCATTTTAACTTATGATCTCAGCCAAACGGGGAGCCACTGGGAGAAAGGGGGACTTACTGCATGTGCCCAGCAATTGCTGTGTTTCACCAATCAGCATCTACTCATAGAGATGCGTTGAGTGCATCTCTATCGAGAGCATTCAGCCTCTTCATGCTGAGCATGACCCCGTTCATAAGTCCTGCAAAAATTGGATTGGAGAACATCGGTGGCACTAAGGGAGGGATCGTGCCATCAATGGACACCTGTCGTCTGCCCACTAGATGTCCAATATGCACAGAACTGACTTTAGCCAGGCTGGCCAGACTTAGGTTGCTAGGTGGAGATGCATCTCTGGCAGCAAAGGGGTTAAATGTATAGTGAAACACTTGTAATACAGACTGCAGGCACCATGACCATTTCAAAATCACCGTCAAAGAGTAATCCTTTCAGAGTGGACATAAGATAGGTAGTTTCTGGACAGGGTGAAATACGTCGGGAATTCATGGCCATTAAGATCAGGAATGCCAAAATCTGGACCTTATAAATACTGTGGTCAATGTTTGAATTTCGGTAACCAAATGCAGCTGGGTTATTTTTGCTATTCTGGATTGGGGGCATTTTGACTTTAGTGAATAACACTCTCAAGGGTTAATTCACTAACTCATTTATTCTCTAAACTATTACCAGGAATACCCCTTCTAACAGGCATACAAACCTTTGCCCACTTGAAGGCACAACATCTGGCATATCTGTTCTTTAGCTATGTCTCTGGCACTGAAAGGGTCGAATAAATGTTACCAAGTACTTATAGCAAACACAATGACTAAAACATTGCCAGTGCTAACCCATAACCCACCAAGACAAGCCACTTGCCAGAAGGATCCAGTTTGTAGATATAAGTAGCAAGTGAGCACACAGCCATCTCAAAGTGGATGTTACGGCTGGAGAGTTTTTACCTGGTTGTTAATCATAAAACTAGACATGGAAACAGGACACACTGTTCTAGTACTACAGAAAGCCTGCATTTAATACCACACCTTGATCTACGCACACACCCAGATCAATCAGGTAAATCTAGGCCGGAATTAGCATTTAGCAATATCCATCCATGTGAGTCACACTCTCAGGCCCTCTGCTCAAAGTACAACCTGCATTTAGCTAAAAGATGATAAACACATAATACCATATACACAGGCTGCCCTGATTAATTGAGTTTTTCCCTCTGCATTAAATTAATTCTACACACTGCAACGTATCAATTTTCACTGACTACTCATCACCATGAATAATATTTGTGTTCAAGAAAAATATGCTAAATCTCGTAACCCTAACTGCAAGGTAAACCTTTTCATGTACTTCCAATCAACACGAAAATGATGAAAAGGCAGTATGTATTTAGGATTCCATGGTGGATCTGACACAACCAGGTTAGGGGGATGTCTTTATCCAGCCGGCCTGTGTTTAACCCCTTAAGGACACATGACATGTGTGACATGATTCCCTTTTATTCCAGAAGTTTGGTCCTCAAGGGGTTAAAGGTTTAAAAAGTCAGACAAATACTTTAAAATGTATATAATGTTACTTTTGTAAGAAGATTAGACATAATTTATTTGTAAAAAGTACGTTGCTCCAGTTTTTTCTAAATAGCTATTCCAAAGCTAAGCAATTAGCTACAGACACAATGTACATGGAGGATGAGTAAAAACAGGGGAAATCATTCCAGAAGAATATGGAATATCATTGGCATTCTTGAGGCAGAGTTTATCTCACCATATATTTATTAAGATTTGTTTAGTACATGTATAGTACATTCGGTCCCAGATCCAAGTACTGTGAGTCTGCGCACTGGTTGTCCATTCATAAGAAATTGTTAGAAATTACAGCTGATTTGGTTGAGAAAGCGTCTAGATCAGGAGTAGGCAACCTTCGGCACGCCAGATGTTGTGGACTACATTTCTCATAATGCTTTGCCATCTTTTTGGCTTTAAGAGCGCAATTGGAGATGCAGTGCACAATCGATCTGGAGTGTCGAATAAATGTAAATATATAAGTGTCTAAATAAATGTAAAATAGGTTCAGCTGTTTTTTTTTCCTTAATTTTTCAGGATCTCCAACTCCACATTTTTAAATTGGGACATTCTTTAGTTATGTAGTTTTTTCAATTTTTGTTTGTCAAGGTAAGAAATTACAGAATAAAGAAATGACATTAAACGTAAAGAACATATCAATATAGTTGGGTGATAGCAAGATACATCAAATAGCATTCGTGCATAAGTAAAAATGAGGGGGGGGAATTAGGTTGTGGAATGGCAGGGAAAAAGCTGG